TATGAGTGCAGCGCCTCTCGGGGGGGGGGGGGGCCCTCCCTTTCCACCCCAAGCGCGCCCGATCCGTCACCACAACCACAGTAGTTTCAACTTCAAAGTCGCTGAAACCGAACCCACACCGCGGCCTGGCAACATCTTCCTTCCCTCCAAAAGCCGAATGCCGCACGAGTTAAATGGAGTTAAACGAGCAGAACCCAGTGAGAGCTTTCAAAACACGAGCCCAAATCCGACTCTACAACACGAGTCGCCCTGCGAAAGGTCACAAAGAAACAACCTCTCTTTGTGTGGAGATCTAAAACTGCAGGTATTTCTCGTGTCTAAGTCGGTTACGACTCGCCCACGTAATAATAACCCCTCCTATTAACGCCGGAGTGATTCACAAAGGAGCCCCCCCCCCCCGAAGCAACCCATGTGAAACACTTGATACGAGCCAGATACGAGTGAAAAAATGAGCCAAAAAGCTTTCTAATTTATGTAGAAATATGCAGCAGCTCGTTGGCCCGTGGCGGCTCTCAGCGGGCCGCTCTCCGCTGCCTGTAATCAAGAAATGCCGCGGCAGCACGCCGCGCGATGCCCGTCATTTCGTTTCCTCAAAAAGAAAAGAAGGGGGCGGGGGAGGGGGGGGGGCGCAAATGTTCCCTCTCGGATGCGATGCTGGTGGGCGTCGCATTGGCGCCGCGCGGCCTCCGACGGGCCGGACGCGTGGACCGAGGCGCCGAGCATTCTGGGAGTCAGACCCTCGGCCTCACCGCCGGCAGGCAGCTCGAGGCTCCTCGAGGTCACATTCCTACAAAGCTCACATGACACAGGACGGAGGGCAGAGCGCGGTGACACGAGGGTCAAAGGTCAGTGTGGAGACCTTCCCTCACACGCCTTTATTTCACCTTTAAAAACTTCTTTACCGCGAAGAAGGAATTTTATTTTGAAAACTGTTGTAACGTATAAAGAGGGTTAGATTGCTGTAAAGTATAAAAAATAAGTTATTTTAATAAAAATTCTTGTGTAAAGCATAAAATAATTGTTTCATTTTCCCATAAAAAGACGTGAAACAAACTCTAAATAATCAAGTTCATCTATCAATTATTATTATTATTACCATTATTATTCAAATTACAATCATTTTTGATTACAGCTGTATTTAGAATATATTTCATCATTATTCTGAGTAGTTTGAAGGGAACCTTCAGGTGAAGCTTTGTGACCAAAGAAACAACACAAAAGAGTCACGCTGCTCAGCACACGTGACCTCGTCATGTGATGCACCTCTGACTCATATTTCATTGTTTCTCCTCCATCAGCCTCCATCCTTCCTGCTTCCATTGCCTCCACCACCTCCTTCATCCTCTTATCAGCGCTCACAGCGGGCCGGAGAGCCACGCGCACACTCTACCCACAATTCACCTCTTCCCCGTAATGAGGATCGGTGCAGAGTTCATACACTGAGCGCAGCAATTAAAGAGAAGTGTGTGAGTCCGCTTGGGTGGAGGAGGTGGAGGAGGTGAAAGGATTATGGGTCGATGCCGTAGTCAGCCATTTCCTTTATGATAATTCACACTTTTATTCTCTCCTGTTGAACAAAACAAAAGAAACAGTTAGGCAACGTGACCTAAATGCACCCAGTTCATATTTAACTTACTTAACTGTTGACGGCTGCTTTACGGCTACACTGCCTCTGACGATGGAATGCACACACACACACACACACACACACACACACACACACACACACACACACACACACACACAGGCAGACTCCATCTCCTCTGCGGCTCCGTCTGTGTAACGACATCTCACGCTTGGTTAAGACTCTGCTGCATAATTAGAGCTCTGGCAGCTGATGGATGGCACCGCGGTCCCTCCGACCCGCCGACCTCAGCCTCGCTTCAGGGCCCCTGAGGTCTGCAGGGGGCCCTGAAGGTCTGCAGGGGGCCCTGAAGGTTTCAGTTGAAGGAAGATCCCCCGGTTTTATTTTTGATGTAATGACACGAGTGAGTCAGCAGAGTGGAATGCAGCCATTATTTATGTTTTTATTTGCACCTGCGACAAAGGTCACATGACACCATCACCTTGAATATTAAAAGAAATCTTTCATTTTTTGGCAATTTTGATTGATCAATAAATACGTTGCAGGGATCTGCTTTTGTCAGGAGGCTTTAGAAATGTACAGAGACTTATTTTATTTTAAATTTACATAAAAAGCAACATACCTGTCAATCACTGTGTAGCCCCGCCCTAAAGCATCCCCTGCTTTATGGTCTGTTTGACTCTACATGGACCATCAGTCACTAATTGAACATCATGCTGTATTGAAGAAGACTTGAAACAAGAGACTGAGACCATAAACTAATGTTTACAATGTTTACTGAGGGAATAAATCAAGAGAGAAGTAGAGTCATTTTCTCATCGACGTCTACGGGACCAGAGGTGGACATTTATCACTTCATGCTCACTGTCGTTGTTTTAATAAACACACACAGTACTCCATTAACTGATTGTTAGTGTCGCTCTTCTTATGGGATTTGTTGACGATAAATAAATAAATATTTAATGAGGAGCCTCGTGATCAAACCGCAAACACCCCCCGTCTCCTCGTTCCCATCAGCATGATATATCTCCAAAATGAGTGCTACTTTGCAGCCTGTTTTTGATTTTTTCTTTTTCTTCGTGGTTGTAAATCTCGCTCTCGGAGAGAAGCTTTGATTGGCCGCGGGGAGCGAGCACGGATTGATCCGTGGGTCTTCTGGTCCGAGATGCACATCGAGATAACGAAGCCCCCGATGACGGGAAACCGCCAAGCTGCCCGATCGCCCCCCCGCCGATCGGTTAGGAGGGGAGGAGTCCATTACTGGAGAGGTGGCGAGGTCGCTGACCCCGCTGAACAACGAGCTCCACCCACCAGCTCAGCAGATACACGGAGGACCTTCTCCACCCGCACAAAGGGTCATCGCACTAAACTAAAGGGCACTTTGCACGAGACGTGGAACAGACAGAGCTCCAGCACATTGAATTAAGGTATAAAAGGGAGAAGACGCAGACTCCACACAGGAAGGCGCTGAGGGGTTTGAACCCAGAACCTTCTTCTGTGAGCACACGGTGGAAACCACCACACCAGCTTCATGTTGTACTTCTATCAAAAATATCATAAATAATCTGTGCCTGGTTGAAAGTAGGTGAAGCTTCCACTGTTTCATGAGTGTTTTATTTAATAATCTGATGGCAGCGTTTTTAATAAATGGAGTAGGCACAAGAGATGTAGTTCCAAAGATGAAGGTGGTGGTTTCCTAACGAACACGTGATGCCCTCTGACCTCTGAGTTGATTGAGAGCCAGATGCAGACAGCTGTCATGGAAACGAGACTCCTCCAGATGTGCTCCAGGGGTTTCCCTTTCCAGTGATCAGACACAGAGGACACAGAAAGTAAAACTTAGCGGCGCTTTTGTGACCTCTGACCTCGACAGTGGACGGAGGTCACATCTGGACTCCAGCCCGCAGACGCAAGGAAACCGTCGCTCCAACGTGCGGGGGCCTCGGCCTGCAGTGACACCGCCCGCTGTGTTCAGCCAACATCCTCCGCTCGGCGTGTCAGTCGGTCCGGAGGCCGACGGGGGCCGAGTGGAGAAGCTGGTGTTTCCAACGTCTGCTCGTGGAGCTTCTCTCGCCCCTCCAGCGGGCCGGCGGTGGACCGATGCCAGAGCTCGGCCTGCAGAGGAGGAGGCGCTAACGAGGCTGAGCCAGCGAGGAGGTGAAGCTGCAGCAGGGCGACCTTTGACCTCCGGGAGGCGCTCTCTCTCTCTCAGGCTGGGCTGCCTCGGGCGGGGTCGCAGTACTTACCCGCCACCCCCTACTCTTCCCCCACGCTCGCCGTAAGGCAGCGGTCGGGGGTCAGAGAGGCACCACAAGCCCTCCGCCCGGCTTATCACCAGCACAGACGCCGACCCATCGACCAGGAGAGAGGAGGAGGACAGGGAGGAGGACAACAGTGAGTACAGGGACGAGGAGGCAGAGGCGAGAGAGCAGGAGGGAGAGCAGGACAAAAGGGAGGAGGAAAAAAAGGAGGGAGAGAACATGGGAGAGGAAGACATGGAGGAAGAGGATGGAGAGAAGGACAGGGAGGAGGATAACAGCGAGGAGGAGGCAGAGGCGAGGGAGCAGGACAAGAGGGAGCAGGACGGAGAGGAGGAGGGAAGGGAGCGAGGAGGGAGGAGGGTTGAGTGTGGAACGTCTCTCTCCCTCGGTTTTGATTATGTTTCGGTAAGCCTGCCGGAGGGGAGGAGAGGAGGAGAGGAAAGGAGGGGAGGATATTAGTTAGGGTGCTAACCGTCTCTGGTTCATACACAAGTTTAAAGTTCAAACAAATTAAATTCCATCTAACGAAGTCTTTCCTCATTTTAAGCTGCTTTCAGACAGTCGAGTCTCAGAATGAATTGTTGTCCTCGGGTGAACTCGAGACACAAACCAGAGCAAAAAGAAGGAAGTGCAATGATGACTTCTCTCGTGCGGCGGTCACCGATGTGGCGCCGTGTCCGCCGACGGCTCCTCACGCGGAACTTTGGGAGGCGATATGTCAGAGCTCGTTGTGTAAAACATATTACAAAAATCAATTCAAGCAACTGGAGCAAGTCTCACTTGGCCTCTTTGTCCTCAGAACTTTTCAACTTCTCCAAACTGAGTTGCACTATCTGGAGGACACGACGGAGAGTTGATAAACACGTTACTAAGTAGTAAGAACTAACGATGGAGGTTTGTGGTACACACAACATATGATACAAGCTGGAAATACACAATACTGAATTACTCTTTACGCTGTCTCATTTCATATAATAAATACTCGCATTATATATTGTACTCATCTGATGTTCTTGAATAGAGAGATTTTATATTACCGGACAGTTTTTATCTTTGGAGTTTTGTTTGTTATATTTGCGTTGTGTATTGTGTGTTTGTGAGGCTGGATCCCAAAGAGAACAGCCTCCCCAGTAGGAGATGATGGGAGATCAAAGTGTCTGTCAGTCTTTATTCCCTTTGAGTGACAGCATGTTCATTAATAAAGTAGTTTGATGTGATCTTTATTACCAGTAACGTCTGCAGACTGGGAGCAAACGCTTCCCGACGTTTACATCCAAAAATAATAAAAACTGCATTTCAAAGCAGAAACTTTATTTAGAACATAAACACCAAAAAAAAAAAAAATCGACATTTAACAGAAAAAAAAAACCTCTCCGGGTTTCACTCGAGTTACAAGTCGACTCGTCGCAAAGAGAAACCCAGCGAATAAAAGCAGAAGAAGAGCAGATGTTCCCTCAGCTCACGAGCGCCTCGGATGTTTGGCAGCTCCGTCTCTGGACAGCCGGTCGGCCTCCTCGTTGCCTCGGTAACCGGCGTGACCCGGGATGTGCATCTGGGGGGAGGGAGGCAGTCATTGTGTCACACTTAATATAAATATAATATTATATATAATATTTTTCTTAAGCCTCAACATTCCACTGACGTAACATTGCTATGAATTGTGGGTAATCCTCTTGGCAAACACTGCAGGAATGTCAACTTATGGAAAGTGTTCATAAAAAAAAAAAGGAATCAAAATGTGTCTTAGAGGCTGAACAGTAATTTGTGATGGGGGGGCTGAGCCTACATCGCGGCCCTGATGTGCCTCTAGCGCCCCCCTGTGGACATTTATCTGACAATGAAGCTTGTCTTCGGCTTTCTTATTGCTGTGTCGCTGATTCTTAAAATCTAAGAAAATAAAAAATATAGGAAACCGAATCAGAGCCACCGGAGTAAGATGAGAAAGTAAAGCTGCAGGCTGAAAAATACATATTTATTCACAGAAGTAGAGCAACGTAAAAACAACAATGCAGGTCGTTTACCTCACAGGAGAACCGTTTAACATTTGATTGATTTTAAGTTAGTTGTTTATGTGGTGATTATTCTACAGTAACTCTGGAATAAAAAGGATCTGAACGCAGTAGAAGTGGCGGATATTTACCCAGACCACCTCCAGCTCCCCGTTCAGCCGGTCCAGCTGCACAAAGTCGTCTTTGTTGGTGATCGGACCGCCGGACTTCAGCCGCCAGCCGTTCAGCTTCCAGTTCTTCACCCAGCTGGTCACACCTGCAGCGAGCACAGCGGCCAGGTCAACGCTCAGCCTGGAGGGGGACCTGGGTTACCTAACACCGAGAACCCCCCCTCCACCCGCCCACCACAGCCCAAACTACTGAACGCAGCACGGACACGTCGCTTCTTTTCATTTGTGTGACACTCCCACCGACCCGCTGGTCAGTACGCGGCGCTCTTACACAAGATGATCCATTTCCTCCAACGCAACTTCGAGCGGGTCAGGCGTCTGGCTTCGGTAACAGCGGCGATCAGAAAAACTCAGTCAACCCTGGAGTTACCTCCCTGCCCCCTGAGTCCCGCCGGGCAGCTTAGGCCTCACGACTCACCGTTGATGGTGAACTTGCTGTCGGTGTAGAGGACCAACTTCTTGATGTTGTTCTCTTTGGCTTGTTCCAGCGCTTTGCAGGCTGCCTGATTCACACACACACACAAACATGAACGCACTGCGTCCTCGCCGTGTAGGTGCATGGCGATTAAACGTTGCCCAAAGAGTTCTGCACCTGCACTTCTGCCCGCTGGTTGGTCTGTCGTCCCTGCAGCGGCTCAGCCACATTTCTGCAGGAAAGCAGTGGTGAATGTGAAGATTAAACGGGTTTGAATTGGCACCTCTAAAAGGTGTGTGTGTGTGTGTTTTTTTTCTCACAGCGGGTGGTCGTGGCCCCAGTACACTCCGATGCCGGCCCGGGCGCCCTTCTGTCCGTTGCCGGAGCAGCAGCCATCGGTGTAGACGACCACGGCGTCGCCTGGGCAGAGGGAGAGAGGCAGAAGTTAGCTCATGTTTTACTTAATCACATTTAAACATTACAGAGCACCAGCAGCTAAAAGGATCACTTTACACTAAACCTAAAGTGTTTCTACTCAAGTTGGATGAAAGAACATTCATTTCGTCTCCTTACCCATGTAGGTGAAACCGTCTGCGCTTTTTGAAGACGAGCTCTCTGCCGGCTTCACTCGTTTGGGTCGGGAGTCGGCGTCCTGGTCGGAGTGGCACCTCTTCCTGCCGATGGGGATGTACTCCAGAGCCTCCGGGCCTCTTCTGGGAAGCAGAGCGTCCGCCGACTCCACGCACTGAGCGGCTGAAGGCCGGGAAACAGAGACCACAAATCTACTCACAGAACTTCCAGATGATGGGAAGTCTTCTTAGCGACCTTGAGACAGCAATGCTGAACAGACTACAGACTACAGCCACTGGAAACCGCGTCGGAGGGCTGCGCGGCAGGAAAGCACCATATTTGTAGCAGCTTACCTTTCTTCACCTCTGGGACTGGAGAAGGCTCAACCCCTCTGAAGAACGCCCAGGCATCTTTCTCACATGCGAACTTCTTAAAAGAGGCGGCGGGAAATTTGTCCACCTGGCTCTTACATTCATCCCTAACAGAACAGTGAAACAGAAGTCAAGTCTGTCCTGATCGGGTGTTTCTTCCTCAGGTGGATACTTAGCTGATTATTTTGGATCTGTACCGATGCTCCATTTTCATGATGCTTTTTCTACACATTTGTTAGACTAAAACCCAAAATCAAAATGTGACATTTTTCGCCTTCCTTGTTTGCAGCAGCGCAGCAGAGCACATATTAGCAGCCTGTACAAACCACGGGGAGGTTTTCGATGAATTTGTCAATGTGTCAGCCGTGTTTTAGGTGAGTTAATGCTGCTTAGCAACGCCCACCACACGGCGAGTGTTTTGATGGAAGAAATTCAATATCAGTCAAATAAAAGAGGCCAAGGAGGCGTTAAAACACGAGCTATCCGAATGGAGTCTGGCGTCTCTCGCTAAATAGGAAACGCACCTTGAAGGGATCAATGGCTTTCGGTGTTCTGAAAAACACACGTGCTGACAGTGCGGTGTAAACGGTCTCACCATGACGTGTACACGCCGGGTTTGAATCCTTTCTGCACGGCGTAGAAGAACTTTCCCTTCGCCATGTCGTCGGCGGCGCTGCAGGCGGTCCTGCGTAATGTCACTGCTCTGAAAAGACCAGTCAGTCTGAGCATCACGACGCGGATGTGGCTAACATCGTGGCGTTAACTCAGAACACTATTGTATACATTTACATCTGACTTGTCAGTGGGTGTTTTGATATAAAACCCTTTAAATGTAGCTAATAGCTAGGTTAGCTAATGTTAGCTGGTTTCCCTGCCTTGAATCTGAAAAATAAATAGGCAAACGCTATTTTTAAGTATTCCGAATAGTTTTAACAACAGTATAACCTCTGCTGGAGTCCGGAGTTAAGCGTTTGATTAAAGCGTGGTATGTCCAGCAAAAAAGAAATGACCAATAAAGTGAACAGCAATGTTGACAACGACAGTCACCGGTCAACACAAACTCTCGCGATGTTCTTATCCCTCAGAGCGTGAACTCAAAGAGCTCTCGCGATACTAAAATGCGACTTCCGTATTGGATTAAACCAACTCTCGCGATGGTCCGGCCTCTTCCTTGGCCGTCGTTGACAGAGGTTAGTCGTGCTACTTTTCAGAGGACTGGCTTTGCTACCCTAAAATGTGCTTTAATGTCGTTTTATCTTTACATAAACCCTTCGTAACGCTTCTCGAGACTCTGATACCTTAGATTATGCCATCTGTGGCGACGGATGGCTGTTTTATTTGACCAAATTAAGCGTAGTAGAGAAGCTCTGGTGACGGTGTTCTTGTAATGGGGAGTAACGTTTATTAGCAGGCCGTACATGTGTTCGGTTACTAGCTACGCTCTCTCGGAGAAGGACGTAAATGTTCATGTAAAGCTTTTAAATGCGTTGTTTAATGTTAAATTGGTTACTTGTGTATGCTAGTAACTGAACTCTTAAGCCTAAAGGTAGCCGGGGTAAACTGCAGTTATTTAAGCTAGCTAATGCTCCCTTTCAGCTAGCCGTAGCTTATCCTAGTTAACCTGCTGAGAGTATAGTTAATATTTAGATTTATCTTTTTGTATCACCTCGTACACATTTTTACCCTTTACTGTTACCGATGTCGACTATGCACGCTAGTTATCCCGGTTAGCATTGAGCTGCCTCTTAGCCCACAGTACATGCTGGGTTAGCTAGCTCCTCCAGGATTCATGTGAGATCTAACGTTAGCATGTGAAGATGTAGAATCCGAGGCTCACTGTGTGTAAACCTGCATTTCTTTTCTCCTTGCAGAGACAACGGCCATGTTCAGTACTAGCGCCAAAATAGTGAAGCCTAATGGCGAAAAGCCAGACGAGTTTGAGTCCGGGATCTCTCAGGTAAGACCTTTTTGAGTTGATTTAACCGCGATCTGTATCGTAGGTCTTCAGGCTGAATGTGTGAGAACATGACGAACCACAGATTATTTGACATGATATTTTAAAAGCCTAGATCAGAATGAAGTGGGTTTTTTTTAGATACAGCAAAAGTATAACGTTACTTACGTGCAGAAATCCGCGATTGGGAGAAGTCTATAATTGAGAGAAAACGACACGTGTTCAGGAATTAATCGTATGTGTTGGTTTCTGAATATCAACAAAGCAGCTTCTGCTTCGTCACAATAGAAACTGCTTTTGTCTTTAATACCTCAGAGTGGATTTAAATCATCAGTGCTGTGTAAAATAAACTTTTCTCCCTTCAGGCTCTACTCGAGCTGGAGATGAACTCCGACCTTAAGGCTCAGCTGAGAGAGCTGAACATCACTGCTGCAAAGGTAGGACCACTTTTAAATATACGTCTGTTATGAGTTAAAGAGCTACCTGTTGTAAGCACCATAGTGCTGGTTCCGCAGATCAACCCGACGTGGTCATCCAGCGAGGTCACTCTCCTGGCTCTGTCCTGGTGGCGTTATGGGAGCGTAGCGTTCAGCTGAGACGTACAATCCCGTTCCACAGCGTCGGAGACAAAGCTCTGACCCCGGCCTCCGGTCGGTGGGGACGAGTGTCCTGCATATTCCTACAACTTCCCAGAGTCCTTTGGGCCGTGACTGGGGGGCTAAACCATGCAGTGCACATTCTTTCATGTCAGGGCATTAAAAGTTTTGGTATTTTACTGCAGTAATCTGAATTGTCATTCTCTGTAGCTTGTTAATCCTGAAACCTGGGTTTGAAGTAGTGGGGCTCTTGCAAAGCTTTTGTCATTTTTTATTAAATGATTTCTTTTCCATTTTTACTTTAAAGGAAATCGAGGTTGGTGGCAGCAGGAAAGCCATCATCATCTTCGTTCCTGTTCCTCAGCTGAAGTCCTTCCAGAAGATTCAGGTGCGCCTGGTGAGGGAGCTGGAGAAGAAGTTCAGCGGAAAGCACGTCGTCTTCATTGCACAGGTGAGAAGGATGATGCAGCTGCTTCAGATACTGTAGCGGTTTTGGGAGAGTCTCACAAGCCTACATGTCTGGTGACCTCCTTAGGGGTGTGCTGAATCAATGCTGGTTGTCTTTAGCGTTTCACCGGTTGTCCCGACGTGGTCATCCAGCGAGGTCACTCTCCTGGCTCTGTCCTGGTGGCGTTATGGGAGCGTAGCGCTCAGCTGAGACGTACAATCCCGTTCCACAGCGTCGGAGACAAAGCTCTGACCCCGGCCTCCGGTCGGTGGGGACGGGCGTCCTGCATATTCCTACATCTTCCCAGAGTCCTTTGGGCCGTGACTGGGGGGCTAAACCATGCAGTGCACATTGTCTCACCTGTCAGGGTTTGACTGATGTCACATCAATGTCGGATATCAATGGTTTACTAAAGTTTGATCAATACAATTTTAGTCAAAAACAGTTTTCTGTCTGCAAAACTTTATATATTTACGAGTTTTTCTGTTGAAATGTATTTTATGCAGAAAGAAGCAAGCAGTCTTTGACGCTGTCGAGTAAAGCTAAGAGCATGAATATCAGCAGGTTATATCAGTCTTACCCTGCTGCTTTTGTTTCCGAAACTATTTCCCTCCTTGGATTATTTCAGTTAGTGTTTGTGAATCTGATTTGGTGATTAATGAAGAGCCTGTTGTATTTCCAGAGGAGGATTCTGCCCAAACCCACCCGGAAAAGCCGCATTAAGAATAAGCAGAAGCGTCCCAGAAGGTGAGTAGCGTTTGATTCACATCACCAATAATAATGAGTGTTAGGTGTTTGTCTCGTTCATGTTAATAGAATTTATATATAAATATTCCTGTCCCTGGTATTTACTGCCATTTTGAACTTTTACAGGATTACACATTCAGGAACTGCTGTTGACTTAAATGAACACTAATGGTCGTATGACATCTTATTGTAGGGTCATAATTAATATGCAAACCGGCATCATGATACATGAGCAGATTCTTTTTAAAGCCAAAAATATCAATGTATCAAATTTGATTAACCATTTGGTTTGTTGACCGTTGTAAGACGTGTTTTTTAAGGTTGAAGATGCTTAAATTCACAAAAAATGTTAAATCCATAGAGCTTCATCTGATGTTTAATTATCCATTCTTGGGACATTTGATACATTTGTAAAATAATTGTTGAATCGCCCCAAAAAATTGGGAATACAATTCTTGTTCTTTAAAATAAACATTGTTGTACTTAAACGTGATATAAACTAATAGCAAAAAGTGGTATTGTTGTCCCGACGTGGTCATCCAGCGAGGTCACTCTCCTGGCTCTGTCCTGGTGGCGTTATGGGAGCGTAGCGCTCAGCTGAGACGTACAATCCCGTTCCACAGCGTCGGAGACAAAGCTCTGACCCCGGCCTCCGGTCGGTGGGGACGAGCGTCCTGCATATTCCTACATCTTCCCAGAGTCCTTTGGGCCGTGACTGGGGGGCTAAACCATGCAGTGCACAACACCTGTCTACAGAGGAGTCCTCAAGACAGAGACTCCAAATTTTTATTAACCGTTTTTACCAAATGACACAGGTTGAGACTTTTAATGACAAATCATATTTCTCCTAACATAACCTGAATTGATTAGATAACTGCTGCCACTGTTGTATTTGATTTAATCTGCCGATAATATTCCAATAAATTTGTGGCTGTCAGTCAAAACTTTTAAAAACCTGATGTGTCTTCAAATGTTCTTTCAACTGCAAGAAATGAGAGTAGTTATAAATATCTTTCAGAATATTATCCATTACTGGACTAATGGCGCCAAACCAGACACATGAGCTCTGTTGTGTATTAACGTGCTTTTGATTCTCAGCCGCACGCTGACCTCGGTGCACAACGCCATCTTGGAAGACCTGGTGTTCCCCAGCGAGATCGTTGGAAAGAGAATCCGGGTGAAGATGGACTGCAGCCGGCTCATCAAGGTCCACCTGGACAAGGCTCAGCAGAACAACGTGGAACACAAAGTGAGTCATTTATCAATTGCATCTGATTTTTATTCTGCATCAGTGCATTTTAATCTACCATGTAACATCTGAAAATAGGGGGAAACTGATCGAAACCGGTCAATGGGTCTGTTTTCTTTTAAACAGCTGTTTAAAAAAAGAATATGAATAACTTTCTAGATTCCTGCTCATGGAGACTTGGAGAGGTTTTTTAGATTAATCTACAAATGAGTGGCGTTTGAAGCATTAGCACACTATGAACCCGACGTGGTCATCCAGCGAGGTCACTCTCCTGGCTCTGTCCTGGTGGCGTTATGGGAGCGTAGCGCTCAGCTGAGACGTACAATCCCGTTCCACAGCGTCGGAGACAAAGCTCTGACCCTGGCCTCCGGTCGGTGGGGACGGGCGTCCTGCATATTCCTACAACTTCCCAGAGTCCTTTGGGCCGTGACTGGGGGGCTAAACCATGCAGTGCACAACCTCCGCCTTAAATCTTAAAGTTTAAAATGTATCTCGCATTGTTTGTGAACCTTTACTGGGCTCAGCTTCTTCAATGAAAACAAAATCTTAAAGTTCACACAAACTAGAGAAAAGGTCCCCAACCTATTCACGTGATGATTCAAAATTGTTTTTCATCTTCCAGGTGGAGACTTTCACTGGTGTCTACAAGAAACTCACAGGCAAAGACGTCGTTTTCGAATTCCCCGAATTCCAGCTCTAAATGCAGCCAACAAAATAAATTTGTTTACTGTCACAATGGTTTGTTTTTGTCATTTTGTGGTTTTATTCTGCAGTTGGTGTTTTTTGGGGTGAAGAACCTGGACTATAAATTATGTAAAACTTTTACTGAAGTCCTTAATATTAAAACCAAACTTGTCAGCTGGCACTCAACCAATTTATGTATTTAAGAGAAAAAAGCCACAGCAGATGTGTACCAATTAAAACATTTAACAAGTAAATGTCTCTACAGTTGGCAGTGCATGTTAATAGGTTAAAGCTCTTTATAGAGCCAGATTTCATATTCTAGACCAATACGTGATCTCACCTGTTCCCTTAACTTTTCTGTAAAATATTTTTATTTCATTGAAGTATAGAGGGCGCCATTCCTCCCACTTTGTATCACGCTGCTCTTGATTTTCAGAGCTAGTGTCATGTCATAAACTGCATTATACACAGGAAGCTCAACAGGAATCTGAACCTATGATACATACCATGTGATTTTTGCCTTTCTCTTTGCAGATCTGACTATTCTTTAATTACGTTTTTCTACCTAATCTTTTTCGTATACATGTTTTTGGCATGACTGTTGAATTTAACAAATTTGACTTTCTTTCCATGACATTCTTTGTTGCATGTTTTGGCTGTTTTATCAGGACCGTCGACCAAACATTTAGACTTTTTCAAAACATTTTTCGACCTTAGTTTTTTTTTTTTTTTTTCCATATTGATCGAATATATTTGCACTTATTTAGAAACATTTTTTTTCAAAGCCTATTGCCCAAACTATGTTTTGACACTGTTTTGTCATTGTATTCATCGACCGAATATATTTGAATTTTGTATTTTTGGGAGAAAAAAACTAGCTAATGTTCCCAACTTTTATTCTTTGATAACATATTTGACATTTTTTATAAAATATTTGACTTTTTTTTATATTGACTTTTTTCAAAACATTTTTCAACCTAATATTTTATTTTTTTTCTCTGACATTCATTGATCGAAAATATTTTGACCACATTATTTGACTTATATTTTCCATGATACTTTTCATCGAACATTTTCATCGAACATTTTTCGACCTATCATTTTGTCTTTGGTAGTGATATATAACCATATATCATTTAGCCCTTTTTAGACACATTGAACTTTAAAAACAGCCACATTGAATTGAATAACATTGCATTAAAATAAGCGTCCCAACAATACGTCATATATAGTTCATAACCGAATGAATGAAGTAAGTTTGTCCGCAGTGTTTAGGTCCCATCGTTTCCACGGCACCTGAACGCAGCACCAACATGCTCCTATGGTATTGGAGGAGGGAGAGAGGGGGCGTGGTGACGATCCTCACATGTTCCCGTGTAGAGTGTAAACTTTCTCCGCGAGCTCAGTCAGTCGGTGCGCGCGGCGGACCGTCGGTCTTCCTCCCTGCGTCGGTCGCTCCTCCGTTAATCATGTCCGGTTAGCGGTCGTAATACGGTAGTTTGGAATAAGCGTGGGAGCGGCATTAATCACCGGAGACATGGAGCCAGTGAGTAAGTGGAGCCCGCAACAAGTGGTGGACTGGATGAGAGGTGAGAACCGAGCCCTGACGTCATGCGATGAAACTAACGGTCCGCCTGCAACCAACGTTAAGTTAGCTAAGCTAACAGACGTGTCTTATTTTAATACTGCTACAGTTTGGTTTAAATATTATGGTTTTAATGTGGTCAGATGCGAGTTCATCCAACAAACCGAAGATTTGTCTGTGTGGTTTTATCACCTGTAAATTACAGCGCCGTTAAGACGTATATTGATGTAATTTCTACAGCTATTTTGACCTAAATGAAGAATATTCATATAACTTCATCTTTTAATGACGTAAAAGTGGTCATACTATAGTCTAGAGATACAATCTATCAGTCTCTATATTATATACATAACTTATACTAATAACTTCTGATTAATAATGTGTTGATCATATTGTATAATACAAAACCAAAAGTACTCAAACTACAAGTCAAAGTATTTTGAATTTGTACAAATACATTTAGCTCCTTCCATCTGCTGTAAAAGTGTGTTACTTCATTTCAGTTGTTTTTAGTACTTGTTTTATTTACATGGATTTTACTGTGTCTTCATAACAAATAAACTGGCAGTTTGGGCACCTGATTATTATAGCAACATGGTACATAAATAGTTAAATAATAAAGTACATGGTGGACTGTATTAAAGTACCGGTCTATCCATTTTGCTTGTATTTAGGTTGTATTCTGCTGGTGGGACTCATTTGTTTCCCACGTGGATCACTGTGAAATCTTTTACATTTGAGATTAAAAACCGTTTTACACAAAATGTTAATGTTTCCAATTGTTATATTGTCTAAAGGTGGCACATAAAACTTTGCTTGAATACAACTTCAGTCTAATCTAACCAGGTTCATCAGGCTTGTGTTTGGTGTTGATTCAGCCTCACGCTGCTGGTTGTGACCTTGTCCACCTTCTCTTCATCTGTACCGCCCGTCATATTTCTGCTTAGTGGTTGAACTTGGTGTTTGAGTGGCAGCTGGATGGTATTTACACAAAGCACTGAGCCAAGGATTCTTTCTTTCATTAGTGTGTCATTAAGTAATAAACCGGGCCGACCAGCCAACGGATCCGCCATTAAATGTCAATGAGACGCGTTGTTCTGGGTTTTATAGAGCCTGGTTTGAATCACCACAAGGTTTGAACAAGCTGCAGCAGCAGGACTTGTTTCTCTTGCAATGTTGGAAGCCACAGAAGCATTTATGTGACACTCCTTTCGCTTATTTATTATTGCAGCCTTACTGATAAAACCTTTGGAAATAGTTGTTTTTAATAGTTGTTGTTTTTGCAGTACAATTTTCCATGTGTCCCCCTCCAATGATTAGTGTTTGATGATGTCATTTCTTGACTTGGGTCACTAACTCACTGAATCAAGAAAGTATTTAAAAGGTGCAGAATACCGTAAATATAAATGCATTGTCTCCGCCTTTGTTTGATTTGAGGGTTCAGCCGAAAGCACGAACACACACATACCGATACACGTGTTATTTAGCAGCACAGACAAAGCAGAGCGGAGTGTTGCTGGCTGTCTCTAAAGACCAGGACAATAGCAGCGCTTCCCGAGGGTCGGCCTCCTGTCGTGTGGAGGGTCAAAGGTCGCTGCGAACAGCTACCGCCACTGCGCCGCCATTTAGCCACATCTCACTTGGGGGACTTGGGGGGTCCCTGGATTCTTTGGGGAGAAGTCATGGAATATCCCTTATTCTGCCAGTACAAGAAATATCCATATTTTGTAGAAATTGTCTACATAGGGTAACAAATAATACAACATTCCAAAATAACGACAGTCTCAAACTTATTGATTTTTAGATGTGGTGTTATAAGATCAAAGAATCCGACTGAGCATCGAGTGCCAGCTGTTCCATTAGTTGTATACATTGAACCTAAAGAACACCATCTGAAGCTGAAGAGTCCAATGCAGCGCTCCTACATCAGCCACCGTCTCTGAGTGGCACTTTTTAATTGTGTGTGTGTGTGTGTGTGTGTGTGTGTTACCGGAGCGACACACACTCCGACACATGTCTCAGGGATCGAGCTCAGCGTGTTCAGACAAATCCACATAGTTGTTGGCAGGTGCAGTCACACATCAACATTCTGCAGTCTGACAATCAGGCAATGAGGCGGATTAATGACACATCCACTTGTGCAGGAACGAATAAAGCAGGAGACGGACCCTCAAATCAGATACGTCTCGTGTACTTGGACTCTTCGACCCTCCTCTTCCTCCCTCTTGGTGGTTGCTTAGCAAAATAAACAATTTTTCTCTCGATAGATAACAGACCCTTGCAGCTGTGTGGCCTCTTTATTGTTAGATAACGCTTATCTACTATATATTTTTCTCAACCTCTCAGACGTTTGATCTTCCATCCTTCAAAAAGCACACAAGAAGCTCTTTGTTGGAACAAACTTTCCCATCTTAACTCTTAGAAAGTATTAAGATGACGGACAAATATCCCGATGACACACTGGTTTGGCTCAGCGGCCTTCCTCGGGCATCAAACCCACAAACATCTTGTTTTAAAGCCACACGTTTTAACCGGCAACTGACACCTGACACAATTACGCCGTAGAGAATGAATCCTCCTTGGAAAGAGATGTGATTGTGCAGAAAATCCAGATTTTCACTTCTTCTGTGGTGTTCATCAGGTCACACAGCTGAATAACTGCAGCGGTCCTGACTTTATTTTGTTCCCTTTCTAAACCTCGCTTAACTACCCGGCGTCTTTGTGGTTGGACGTAGTCCGGCAGGCGGAGCAAGGCGACGGAAGGACCGACCCTAGTAGTGTTTCATAGTGTGTATTGGTACTGTTGGTGGCCGAAGTCACCACACGTTACCATTGACGGTAAAGTGTCTTTTGTAGTAGGAGTCCGTTAGCTTTTAGCTCTGTCCTGCATCAACGTAAAAACAGTCCATCTGCGGCCCAACGACAACAAACGGGATATCAGTTGAGCGCCACCTACACATATTGCTGGAAATTTCCAACACTATATTGGTACCTAAACTTAATTAAACTCTGTGAATACGTAGAGCAGCAGCATTGTGCGCATGTAGGTGGTTACATTTGTGTGTTACATTTCTAATCTTTGTTTACTGGGTCCTGAAGCCTCACTTGGTGCCTCTTCCTGTCTTTGTCCCCACTTGTGAGAAACGCTGACGTGGATCATTAGTGAGAGTGTCGGGAGCCACGTTCACACAAAAACCCCTGCAGAGCTGAAACGATCCGTGCACGGGCCAAATGCCCACATCCCAATGCTAGAGACATCAAATGGTTTTGTTCATCTGTTTTTAAACGGTAAAAGAAAGCAGCTCCTAAATGTATTAAGGTGTAATGACAAAAGGGTGTTTATTATTAAATCGACCGTCCCATGTTCCTGCTGCTCTGAGACGTGAAACACATCGTTGAGCTCTGTGGGAACTGAACTGTGACGCCCAACGAAGGGTTCGAGTAAGCCGATTGGGAGGTTTGTTCGACCTGCGTCACGGCCGACGGAGCGTGATCAACACCTGCTGCACTGGGCTGCAGGACGGGGCCCCTCCTTTCATTCACACATTCATCATCCCCAGAGGATGAACATGTGCAATGTTTCTCTGCGCACCATCATTAATATGTGATTATCCACCTGCATCTCGGGCTCACCAGGTAGACCTGCATATTGATTTCAGCAGGTGGAGCGTCTGCAGCAGATCTGCACCAGTGTCGGGCTGCTGCTGGTCAAAGTGGGACCACAGCTCAGCACTCGGTGAACTCCCACGATGCCTGTTTGTTTGATTTCATAAGACTTCTGAGCACAAATCTGCTCAAGGAAATCCTTTTTCCTCTTGATTAGTGTGTGTGTGTCAGAGGCCCAGTGAAGCTATGAATAGCTTCAGTGCTCTTTTGATACTTTTCCTCTCCACCCTCGTCCTGTTGTGATGGTGGGGGGGTAAATATTCCTTTTGTGGCCCTCCGTTGGGGAGTGTCGGGTCCGAACTCCGTCTCTGTGCCAAACACAACGTGAGCCATTTGTTGCAATGAAAAGAGGATTTGGAGTTGAACTGGGACAGTTTCTACAGTAAAGAAGTGTTAATAATCTCACATTAGAAGTGTACTTATAGGTCACAAGAGATCAACAGTGAGGCGAAGCCTACCTGCTAATGCCCCCCATGTGGAGGCGAGCAGCAGTTTGAAAGCGGCCGAGCGCCTCGTTTGTTTTGATCTTCCTGACCAATGATTAACTGGAGTTTCACCTGCAGCTCTTCTTTTTTTTTTTTTTTTACTGACTTCCTTCACGTGTTTGACAGCAGCCTATTAAGTGGTTTTATCGCCAGCACGCCTTCGGAGAGTTTCTGTCAGGCCAGGAATTTAGGGGACGGTCCATGACAACATCATTGGTAAACCGATTATCCCACAATCAAGGTTTTCAAAAAGAACACAAATTATATTGAAGTTGGTAAAGTTGCTTTGTTCGTCAGCTGGGTGAAGCAGGAATAATTCCGACTCTCACTCTGCTGCCCGTCGGCACAGTTTCCCACCGCCGGCGGACTGACAGGAGGCCAAAGGCCCCGAGTCGTCTGCCAATGTCACACCCAACTAACTTGAGTTACGTCTGTGGCAAAAGTCAACTTTGAAACCGGCGCGGCTCCAGAAGGACTTGACAGTGGCGCATGGAGCTGAGAGGACGCCCCGAAGACCGCAGGGTTGGTGGTTCGAACCCCGGCTGTTCCCACTGTGTGGAGGGGGGGGTTAATTGTAGAGAATAATTTCCCCAAGGGGATCAATAAATGATACTTACGAGCTGTTTTATTGTCACTGAGGGAGAAAAAGGACTTCATGTGAACCGTCGTCCGGCTCCTTCATGTTGAGTCCAACTTATTCAAACAAACAGGCCGGCTTCAAAGTGCTGTACAAAGAGCAAAGATTAACACGCGATGCTTCCTCAGTTTCAGCTTTTGCAATAATGTGGTAAACAAAGAAAAAGGGAAAGAGTAAGTTGAAAGTAAGAGAAAGTTGCGCCAAACGGGATGTTTTCAAAGGTAAACGGTGCAGATCCACTTAAATCCCGTAGAGATTCAAACTGGTTGAATGACATCAATAAGACGTGATGTCGCTTTACTGGTTTGTAGTTCTAGTTTCTAGACCCACAACGATATTGAAGCACACATTAGCACAGTTTTTTTTTTTATACCAAGTATAACATTTATCTGGATGGGACCCGCTCAGCGGGACGTCAGGACTTCCAACCGTTTGGGCCGAGCGCCAAACCCTGCGGCAATGTTCAAAATGTGGAATAACAGGTAGGGAGTCTTTTGGGATTGTTGTTTGGTGAAACACGAAGGCCGCTCGTCACTCGTGGCCGTTTGCGATCCACAGAAGCTCTGCTGCCTCGCTGGAGGTTTCTGCTGTGTGGACTTTGCTCGCTGGGAGGCCCGCACACTTTCATTAGCAGACGATGTGGCTGACGCGTGACATCCAGCCGACCCCGCCCGTGCGGCGGAGAGATTAGCGGCCTCCTCGGGTGTCAGTAATGGGATTCAGGCTGTCGCCAACACATTCCTGGTGACCACCGACTCGCCGGCCGGCCGTGACCAGCCGGAAAGCACTAGTTTGAATCATGCTCCCATCACACCTTCTAGCATGGAGCTTTTTAAGGCGTGTGTTCCGGATTTGAATATTTCCCTGAGGAGGTTTGCATGTGGGGAAACCTTCCTGGAACAAAGTAGAAGGAGATGTGTAGTGTAGAAGGTCAGGGCTCTGCCTGTTAAGTGCGGATCTAGTGGCGTATAAGACGCAGTAAAGATAAGAGATCAACCTTTGAGCCAGAGAGCGCGAATGTTCAGCTTTAGAAACGACCTAAATGGTTGTTTTTTGCGGTTTGATGAAGTTCGACCCTTCTGGAACACAACAAAGTGGGTGTTGTTGTTTGCGTCGGGGGTGAATTGTTTGAGCGTCGGCCATCTGTCGTCCCGCGTGTCCCCCTGAAGACAAACTGGGTCCCGGAGTCGCTCAGCGACCCCATGCAGGGGGCCGTTGTTTTCTTCTCTCGTGTTCACACGCGCGCAGTCATTTGTTGGCCAGCTGACTAAGCTGCAGACGGTCTGCCATTTGGTGCACAATTTGGTGCGAAAGACGCAGTTAAAAGTCTGGTTTGGGAATCAGGACTAAATTGAATGTTTCTCTCAACTTTTACCATTTTTTACTTCCGACAATGTGACAAGTTGGCTGCGTTGTGATGTCATCCTCACAGACGTACAGGTGCTGAACCTGAGATCCAGAGCAGGTCTTTTGTCCCTCTGCGGCTGTCGCTACGGCAACCGGTGGCTCAGCTAGCGGCGCTGACAGCTGACTGTGTTTACCTGCCGTGGGTCGGGAAGTCCTTATCAGTTGTAACAGCTGTATGAGCTAACCGGTGGAGCATGCTAACATGGGCTAACATGCACTAAAGGGCACATGGCAGGGCGGACTTCAGTATGTCAACAAAGGCCAGAGAAGCTCTGATTACAACACACACAGGAGATAAGCTGCTTTCTGTCTCCACACAGAGAAGAGTTGTTTGATGCTGCATTAACACGTCGCTTTTAACAAGCTGCAACTTCTGATTATTCTCACTATTGAATGCAATTATCTTGGTCTGAGAAATGTCCGATGTCTAAAATCCAAGTGGTTTAAAACATTAAATTGAGAATGACTGAGCGTAACTCTCTATAGATGGAGTGGACTCCACATTTGAATGACTGGTTTGTTAGTGAGTCTTTTATGAGGTTGTTTCTGCTCGTTCTGTGTCAGTGAGTCGCACGCTGGACGGAGGATGATCCTCCTCCATTGATCCAGCGGTGAGGACTCCTGCTGCTGCCGTTCACAGTGGGGTCGGAGGTCGGAGTTCAGGGTCGGGCACAGTGGCGCCGCTGGGAGCTGGCGGTGCCTTCGCCCAGTCACATGTGGCCTTGGGAGAGGACGGTGGGTTTCGGCCGAGCCGACGCTGTGTGGATAAACTACAACCAACTCCTCCACCTCATTGGGCCCTTCTGAAGTTGACGTTTCGTTGTACTGGCTGGAGGAGAAATGACAGCACGGTGTTAGCTGCGATGGACCAGCAGGAAGAGTCAATAAGTCTGTGTTGACTCAGCAGCTCTGTTTGCTGTCAAACTAGATCATAACAGACCTTCAGTGAAACTCAGCTGCTTGGTTTCGTCTACTCTCCCTCACACCTGCAGTACGCGTCACGTGTGCCACTAGTGTGATTTAACGTCGCCAATCAGTCCAAAGCAACCGAAAGAGAGCACATGAATGTCATGGTTAGAGTCCCATCTCAGTGTGCTGTGATCCCCCCCCTCCTCCCCCCCCCCAGGTCTGGACGACAGCCTGCAGCAGTACATCCCGTCCTTCCAGCGGCAGCAGGTGGATGGGGAGAAGCTGCTCCGGATGTCCCACCAGGAGCTGCTGTCTCTGGGTCTGTCGCGGGTCGGACACCAGGAGCTGGTGCTGGAGGCGGTGGATCTGCTCTGCGCGCTGGTCAGTAACACAAACGCCGACATTCCTCCATTACTTCAGTAAAATCAAACAAAGCTGCCGGGCTTCTTTCCGTCTTCTTTGTGCCGTCAGGCGGCTTGTTTCTGACTCACTCTGCCAGCAGACTCTCTAATGGCGTCACTAATGACTTCTTCTATTTGATTGCGGCTGCTTAAACACCGTCACACGGCTCCAAATATTGAGTCAGCCGCCCGTCTCCAGAGCTGCAGCAACACTTTGCGGACCCACTGACGTGTGTCCTCACGTAGCGGCAGCACCAAGCAGCTTCACACCCTTGTGACCTTGTTTTGTTGTTTGGCTTCAGAAGCCACCAGAAGTCCTGCAGCAACAGTGAGCTTCATGGTGCCGTTTTACCCAGAGGAGCGTTTCCTGTGACCGCAGAGAACACGTCACAAACAACACACCCGTGGGTTTCATTGGGAATATCGGCAAATCAGGGAACTTTGTTCAAGGCGACTCAACTCAAAGAGACAGATGTGAAATCCTGACTAAGTACTGTATTCAATACTTTACTTAAGAATTTCCATGTTCTCCTACTTTTTACTTCTCCTTCCGTAAATCTCTGAGGTAAATATCCTCTAGGCTTGAACGTGTTAAATCTGAGCATCCGGCCCCATGAAGTAGCTCCATGTCCGTCTCATGGTCTGATGCATGTTAAAAAGGAAATGGGGAATTCCGCAAACTTACCGTTATGACATTTAAAGATGCAAAGTTTGACATTTTCACAACAAGCTGTTGTTGTGAAAGTGTTGAGCAGCAGAACGAGCCCCCAGTCAGCTGTTTACGAGCTGTGACTCTGTCCTGCTGAAAAGGAGGATTTACAGTCAACGAGGTTCAATGGTTCAACTCAACTGAATGGGATCCAGCAGCCTGCTGACAGACGCACACCGGTAAAGTCCACTTACTCAAGCGACTGACTAGAGGAATAAAGTATGTTAAATAAACGTATGCGTTACTTTCAACAGATTATTTAGTAAATATTTATGTCCGGCTCGGCAACTTCCGGCTCTGAAAAATGAACCCTTCTTGTTTTAAAGCTGTCTACTGACCAGCAGGGGGTGACTCCTCTGGTCCTAGAGATATAGAATAAAATAAAATGTAAAGGATGGTCCATTTACAGTCAAACAGACCATAAAGCAGGGGATGCTTTAGGGCGGGGCTACACGCTGATTGACAGGTCTGCACCAGAGGAGTATACGGCGTCTCACAACATTCACTCATCTGCGAAAAAACAATTCTATACTCAATGGTCACTTACTCACCTTTTCCAGGTCTCTGGACCTGTCCTCGACAAATATGACTCATTAATGAGCCGAGCGCAGAAGTAGGAAGTGACATCACACTGAGCGCAGTCCGTTTCCTGTCCCACTCAATTGAAGGTCAAGTGGATATTATCTGCAGCACAGAACTGCGTTTACTGCTCGTCGCTGTGGAGCCGGAAACAGATGTGACCCCTCCCACCTGCCACAAAGTCCCTGCTCCCTTCCCCTGCCGCACACGCACACGCACACACACACACACACACACACACACGCACATTGAAACAGAGGAAGAGCCGTCGCAGCTTTGTTCCAGCAGCAGGTTCCTTTGGCTGTCACATGATCAGACTCTTTTAAACCCCTCAGCGTTAAAAGAGCACAGTCACGTTGAGACTGTTTAATTAGCACTGAGGCCCTGAATGTGGCACAGTTATAAGTGGGCTTTGTGTTGCATTATGGGTTACGGAACCTAAATTAATCCGTTACAAGCTAAATGAGGGTTTACGGATCGTTTATTGTTCTCAAAATATGATCCCTCAAAGTTTTTCTAGCAAAGATGCCAAACATTCTTTGCATATGTTACTTAATAGAAAGTTCAAGTATTGTTTTATCTATTTGTGATGTAATTTTTTTTTTTTTTCACTTCTTCAAAACATTTTGGCAGTATTAACCATGAAAATAATTAGTAATTCATTACTTCCCTGTTCCACTCCTGGAGTTGTTGTTGTTGTTCTGTGTTGTTGTTATTGTTTATTAGGAATGTGGTGACCTCGTATGTTTTCAGTCGGATACACTGACTCCAACACGGGTCATTCTTCGTTACTCTCCTCTTGTTGACACATGACGTCTAACGTGATGGGACCTGAAACAAGCCGCCCGTCGGGTTTCCTTCACATTGATTTACGGTTCTTTGCTGTGAAGCTGGTCGACAGGTGGAACCTCTGTTTTTATTGGCTGTGAGCGCCGACACGTCGCAAACATCTGGGCAGCCTCGGGCCAGGCGTGTGCGTGTGTGTGTGTGTGTGTGTGTGTGTGTGTGTGTGTGTGAGAGAGAGATGTTTTCCTTTTTAAAAGACAAGATGGAGAATCCTCATCATGAGGCTTTAAAATTAATTCTAAAGAAACCTCTAATTCTGCGTGTCCTGATCATCACAACTGTTCCCAGTGCATCATGTGATGTTCCCTGTGTGTGTGTGTGTGTGTGTGTGTGTGTGTGTGTATCTGCATGTTGAACAGAACTTTGGTGTGGAGAAGGACAACCTGAAGACGCTGGTGGGGAGGATGAGAGCGGCGCACCACAGCCTGAGCGGCTCGGTGTCGCAGCGCAGGAAGAACCCCGCCTACCACAACAAAATCTCCCACCAGCCCTCCAACGAGTTCCTGACCGCCGTGGTCGAGCTGATCGGAGCCGCCAAGAGTCTGCTGGCCTGGCTCGACGGGTGAGAGAGCGCCGACGTCCCGCCGGACCCGGTGCACCAGCGCCCCTCTGCTGCCTGAAGCAGCTTCAGGGAACTCGTGCTCGCAGCAGATGTCAAAAACTAGTTTAGACTCCAGGCTGAAACGCTATAATACAGATACAATATGCAAAGAGAAAGAACAGGCGGCAGCTTGCAGAGGGAACTTTAAGCTTCGCTCCAGAAGCTGATAGCTGATCCTAATGAAGCTGATATTAATACGCTCGAGGAATACAGACATTCCTGCAGGAAGCTGCAGCTGTGAGGAAATGAAATGCACCATGAACATTTAATATGTGTATCAACAGACTCCTTGTCATCAGTCACTTACAAGAAACAAACTCGTTAATATTACATTATTAATAATTCTGCTCACTGATGAAACCGACCTCCTCTCCTCTAGGGCCCCAACGAGCGCCAACGACTTCACCTCCACCAAGAGCAGAATCATCCAGCTGTGCCTGGAGCTCACCTCCACCGTCCAGAAGGTCAGTGAGGCTCAGACATCTAGCACCAGCGTCCTTGTGACCCCTCATGACCTCATGACCCCGGGAGGGTTTAATTTCAAGGCCTCTATGGTGATGAACCAGATAACTTGTGTTTACGCGTACAAAGTCCTTTTGATGATGCTCCTCTTGCAGATATCGGACTACCCAAACAAGCAGGGAGGGGTTTTACATCTACACACAGTAGCGTCTTGATCTTTTTATAGTCCTCATTTTTAAGTATTCGAAGGAGCACTACGGTATTTTGAGTAATGAAAAACAGCAGCTTTCTCTCAATAAAAATGCAAAAAATGCCTTATTACTTATGATTATAACAATATATATAAAATAATATGTTGCAATGCAACATTTATTAGAAATACTACTTAGAATCCTCCTGTAAAAAGTAAAACACAACATAATTTATCTTTTACATTACTGTCCTCTGCCACATGTACATAACTCTAAAGGTGAACTGCATTTTATTTTTGTTACTGATCTCAATCTTTATTTTTAACCGTCTTTCAGCCTCTTGTTTAAAACCAGTCAGGAGAATCAAAGAGTTCAGACTTTTTCCATTTATTTGCTGCTCGCACCTAAATGAAAGCTCAGAATGTGGAAATGAAATCACATTAGAGCGTTATTTGAACAGTGCGGACGGACTCACTTCCTGTAAATGCAGATGTGTTTATCGGGTTGAAGGGTGACGTCTGTCCGTCTCTTTAATTACAGGACTGCACCGTTTATGAGATCGAGGAGAAGATTCTGGAAGTGGTGAGTTGTGCTTCTCCTTTTTCCTCCGGCCTGGATGTTTGGAGATGTACTTGCATGCATGCACGCACACACACACACACACATATATGCAGTCAGTGATCACATGTTTCCTCTCGTGTGTGTGTGTGTGTGTGTGTGTGTGTGTGTGTGTGTGTGTGTGTGTGTGTGTGTGTGTGTGTGTGTGTGTGTGTGTGTGTGTGTGTGTGTGTGTGTGTGTGTGTGTGTGTGTGAGGGAATCTGGTTCAGAGTTGTTTATTCAGCTCAGAACCGTCCACTTCCTGTCTTAGATAACACTTCCTGTTGGACGTCCTGTTGTTCCCAGAATACTGACGTTAAATCCCTTTCCCTCCTGACCACCTTCTGATGTGACCTCTAACCCTTTGAATCTCATCTGCTGACCTCCTAGTTTGTCTTTAGTATGATGAATTTAGGCTGCGTTAAAGACCTTCTGCCACCCAAAAAACATTCTGGTTGCTGTAGTTTTTAAACTGATTGAAATAAAATGAATTCACTTTTTGGGCGTTTACATGATGATGATGATGGTGATGATGATGATGATGATGGAGGTTGTGTGTAGGAAGATCCTCTTTGTCAACAGAACCTTTATTGCTCCGTCCTCCAAGCGGTTCACCGGCCTATTTTTGTTTCTTTTCCTCTTCTCCACGGAGAGGTCGGAGGTCGGAGGGCTTTAGTGCCGCAGCATGTTGCTCATCAGAACGGATGATTGAGGCCACCGTGTTGCAGACGACTTCCTCCTCCTTCTGATGTCACTTGATGAACATTTGAATTGAACCCATCATGTCGGTTACACAACAATGTTAACGCTGATTCTTCCTTTTTATTTATCAAAATTATTTTTATTAGGAGTTTACCAAAGTTACTTGGATTGATCAAAGGAGACAAAGAAATGAAGCAAATTCTTATTAGTTGATTGAGAAGAATTCAATCAACAATGAACTAATCATTTCAGCTCTATATATATTAAATTCGGGTCTTTTTTTCTTTTCATTCTCGTCTTTTGTGTGTTTTCAGTCCCGAGCTCTGACCGGCGTCTGTGAGAAGACGGTCCAGGTGACCTCTGACCCCTCAAAGAGTGAGCTGTCCTGTCTGGAGGAGGTGCACATCACCAACATCAAGCCTGGGGAGGGACTGGTGAGCACAATGTTCATTCAGAACATATCGGGAACATGTCCCATAGTGCCAGTAACTCTAAAAAGAGGCGTGTTAGCGCTGCGCCACGAGAACCACAAATCAGTCCAAAACCACCACTGCAGTGAGAGAACTAGTGAAGTTATTCAGACGGAAGATTTGTGTGACTACATTCTTAACCACAGCGTTTTTTACCTGTGTTTTTATCCTTCAGGGTATTTACATCAAGTCCACCTACGACGGGCTTCACGTCATCACAGGCACGACAGAGAACGTGAGTGTGCTGCTGCTTCTCAGCCATGTTGCTTCAGCCAGTTTACCTCCTAACAAGATGTCCAAACTGTCCCCCAGTCTCCTGCAGATCAAACCCAGAGGATCCATGCAGGGGATGAGGTGGTTCAGGTCAACCAGCAGACTGTGGTGAGTCAGACGTCCACTCGGAGGACATTCTGAGAGAAACCTGCTCATTGGCTTTTAGCCAGATGAGAAGATCGATACCGCTCTTTTGTCTCCGCGCTAAATATGAAGCTACAGTCAGGAGACAAGCTTAGCTTAGCACAAACACTGGAAACAGCTAGCATGACTCCTGTCTAAAAGGTCATATATTGTAGAAATGACAAGTAGGGATTTAATGCGACATTAAAGCTCTGAAAATGACAGTCTGTTTCTTCACATCAAATGTTGGAATTGTTCATTTAAAATTTCCAGTGGCTGTTGGACAACAACTTCATTAACTAGTTAAGAAATCTTAATTCCTGCCAGCGCCCTCTGAGTGTCTGCTGCTGCTCAAGAGTTGTGCTCTGTGATTGGTCCAGGTGGGCTGGCAGCTGAGGAGCCTGGTGGAGAAGCTGAGGGCGGAGTCCGGAGGCGTCTACCTGGTGGTGAAGAAGAGGCCGGCTGGAACGTCCGGGTGCTTCGCGCCGGCCCCGCTGAAAAACCTGCGCTGGAGGCCGCCGCTCATACAGGTGAGCTGCAGTGAAACGGGTCCAAACACCCACCTGCCCAGGAGCCTCTGAGCAAGACCCTGAAACCGGAGTTTTTATGACCATTGCTCAATATGTCTGCAGATTCTCAGCAGCATTTGAATGCACCACGCAGGCACACTTTCTGTCGTCCTATCCTTCACTCGTTACCTCTCAACATGACCTCAGGTACCTGGACTGTGACCTCTTCCCGGTACCAAGAGAGCAGACCCAGTGGCAGCAGTAGTTCTATAAATGAAGTCCTAGAAAGAAAAGCTCCAGTCGGCTTTAGTTCAGGTCTGATAACATGCATAAGACAATATAAGTGTGAAGTAAATATCTCCTGAGGGAATAATCCATAAGAATGCTCAGGTGCTTGCGCAGTGTGTTCATAGAATGAGGTTGTTTGGTGTAGACGAGAGCGGCCATGTTGAATCCTCAAACTGCCATCGAGCCAGGCAGCAGCTGTGGTCGACTGTATGAAATCAGCCCTCCATCCGGGTAAACGAAGCGGCCCTCTGCTGCATTCTCCTTCTGTCATCACAGCTTTCTAGTTCCTGTTCTTGAGCGACCATTAAACACGGCCGCCACCCAGTCTGCCGCTCCGCTGAGGTGTGGGAACAATGGATCCCTTCTCCCCTTCTCCTGGAAATGAACGGTTCAAACGCTGCATTGATGTCAGACATCTTTGGACGGTGACTCATTGGCTTCTCCACACGCTTCTGAATCCAGCAGACGGCCTTCGGGGGCTGTGCGCTGACGGACGTCCAGGATGTGTGTGTTTTGGGTAGATATGCGTCTTGAACGCCCCTTGACAGCCCAGTTCAGCTTCAAATCACTGCTATCAAAACAGATCTGAAGTCAGTCTGCCTTTACCTCACCGTCGCTCTTACTGCAGGTCAAAGGTTGTCTCCCATCAGCGCATCCGTCTCCACTACTAATACTTACATAAAGTAAGTGATCATAATAGCTCATGAGATGACGTTCATTACTCCAGAGTACAGAACAAAAAATATACACAGTTAAGTGTAGAAAAAGGAGCAATGACACAAACGCACAATGGAATAGAACACAATAAGTGAAGGTAAATAAATGAGGAGGAAATGTGCGTTTGTTGGGGACTACCTTCGGCAGCGAATTGATCCGTTAAATGTGTCCGTCTCAGTGAATAATGGACAGTGGTGATCAGAACAGATCAGCAGAAGTTTCTTTGCGACTCGGAAAAGGAGCCGAGGGAAGTTTGTTTATGAAAGTACACGAGGAGAGGAAGGAAACGGAACCGCTTGGTTTGCTGTTTCTCTGGGTTGTTTTATGAGAAACCGCTTAAAGCTCACGTCCACATTCATATTGTGAAACATCTTTAAGAACCATACGCACAACAAATGTCTTCCAATGTCTGCCAATAAACATTTACTCCTCTAAACTAAATGTGACGTCTACTTAAGAGGAGAAACCGAGTTCTACATCACATCAAGTCGTCAATCTGAATCTTTTAATGACACTGATGTTTATGTGAAGCCACAAACCTCAGAAACGCACAGTAGCAATAGTTGCAGCAAACAAATATTCTATAATTAAAGTAATATGTAGTGCAGGCAGAAACCTCAAAGCTTCATGTCTTAAAGCTGCGTTCTCTGCAGTGACCAGCAGGGGGCGACTCCTCTGGTCTCATAGACGTCTATGAGAAGATTACTCTACTTCTCTCTTGATTTATTCCCTCCGTAACATTGTACACATGGGTTTATGGTCTCTAGTTTCAAGTCTTCTTCAACACAGCATGATGTTCATTCAGTAAATGATGCTCAATAACATGGCCACGTCCAAATACCTGAACTCTGCGCTTCAAAACATCAGACCTCAAACCAATGGGTTTGCTGTTTGCTCTCGTTGTCTGCAGACCTCTCAGGGAGTTCCGGGTCTCTACAGAACTCGACAGCCCGAAACCTCCGACGCTCCGGGGAGGAGAGGGAAGACGGCCATTTTGGATTTGTACGTCCCTCCTCCCCCCACAGCACCGTACGCACCGCTGTGAGTTCCACTCCGGGGTCCGCCGGTCACTTCGTCGTAGTCATGGTTACAGGGCAGAACTAATAGTAGCGGCGGGTGTGGCAGTGAGTACTAACCCTCTTCCTCCCGGGCTGCTCCGAAGGGACGGCAGCATCAACGTGTCTCCGGGTTTGAAGCGGAGGCCCAACTCTCCCAACTCGTGTCTGGACGCTGACGTGCGGCGGCGCTTCACTTTCGGCGCTGACGGCAGGACGCCGGTCAGCCCCCCCCCACCTGAACCCAACCAACCAATCCCCGTGTGCCTGAGGCAGCGCTCGTCTACACGCTGTGAGTCCACACACACACACACACACACACACTTCCATCCCATGAGGAGCCTCATTAACATAAAATGAGACTCTATGATCAAGATTTCTTCTTCTCCTGGTTTCTGGGTGTAGTTTTTTGAATATTGTGATTGCACGTTAAATACAATGTATTAATTATGTAGCTTTATTTATACATGCATACATACACACATGCATGTCTCATGTCTGCCAACAGATGTTAGCTTGACGTATCACAATGTTTAGAGCTGCTGGTTGGTGCACTTGCTTACCTTGAATACAGCCAGGCTAGCTGTTTCCATCCATTTCCATTCCTTGTGCTAAGCTAAGCTTCATATTTCCTGTTCAGATACTCAAGGGTTGCATCAAGAAAAGAAAAACCAACAGAAGATGAAATAGTTTTTAATCTGCTTCCAGGTAAACCTCGACCTGTCTCCATGCCGGTGGAGTCGTTCTCCGTTGACCCGTCCTCCAGGCCCGGCGCTCGGGGAAGGAAAGGTGAGCTCCACCCGCTCCACCCGAGGGTCCTCTGTAATCTAACCGCTATCAGCAGCGCGTCGCCGTCTGATCGCTAACGGCCGGCGACAAAACGGCGCCTGCATGCTTTGAACGTCTAGATAATGGATTATTAACCCTGAATATTAACCACTTCACCTTCAGGAAGTGTGTGTGTGTGTGTGTGTGTGTGTGTGTGTGTGTGTGTGTGTGTGTGTGTGTGTGTGTGTGCGCTCAAACAAAGACTCATTAGCAACTTTTCTCCCCATGTCGAATGACAGTTTGACTTTAGTTGTGTTAGTCCTGAGACCCCTCTGAATCCGTGATGACGCCCCCTCCTTGTTGCAGACGTGCTGCACAGATATCTGAGCAACGAGGGGATCAGCACCATCACCGAGGAGGAGCCGTGCTTCCCGCTGCCCTACCGGGGACACCCGTCCGTCCGCGGCGTCGACCACATCCGGGGCAGCCAGTGCTTCATCAACGCCAACCTGCACAACAGCGCCACCATCCCTTACCAGGAAGCAGTGGCACCCAAGAAGTCCGCCGGCCCGGCCTCCTCCTCCTCCTCCACCGCCTCAGCCGCCGTTTCTCCTCCGATGGCCGTGACCAAGCCGCCGACCTCGCTGCTCGGCGGCTGGCTGGCTCGCCTCAGGCTGCTCAGCCACTGACGGGGGCTCCAGGCGGATCCACTTGGATAAGACGGGTGTTGTCCTCTGGGTCCTCTAGGTGTCCACAGGAAGCAGGTTTTTAAATGTGATCTGAAGATTTTACAGAGATCTGGAGACTGAACGAAGGAGCAACTTGACAGATCCGATAAAGCTGCGTTCCCGCCGGAGGCTCCGTGTTGAGTCAATTTAATTAAAGCTGTCTGGTTTTTCTCCTTTTTAAAGAATAGCCAAGTCTAACTGCACCGCCGGTCAGTGATCTACAGGTGTACGTTCACCGTCTCCTCAGGATGAATGCTGCTGGCTCTGATGGACGGGGGGGGGGTTATGAGGTGGGACGGAGTCGAGGCTACCGCTGCCCGTGAAGCCTTAAAGACGCTGGAGAAGCAGCGGATCTCACAGCGATGAAGAGCGCGGACTGTGACTTCTCTCCACCAGCTCCAACCACTTTGTGGTGGACGCCACAACTGGGATCCAGTCGTAAAAAACACTGTCGCTTTCTTAATGCTGAAAACTGCCTTTCGCTCAGGAAGGTTGGACCTGCTGAGCCTCCTCCCCTGGATAAATCCAGCTTGTGGTTCCAAAGATACCTCCTCGTTTCTGAATCTGCTGAAGATGAAGCTGGTTTTGGTTTTCAACAGCTTCTTTTAATCTGGACAAGAATGAATAAAACAGAATCAGGTGAAATCTGAACTGTCCCAAAATGTACGAGACTCCTCTGACGGGTTCGGATCCGGAGAATCAAACTTCAGAGGGATTCTAGTTTGAAAGTGGTGACGCATTTCTAAACTTCAGAGCTGCTCCTCTCGAGCCTCCGTCTGTAAATATGATCATTTAAGGTGAACAAATAAGAGCTCAACAGCTTCACCAAGCTTCACCAAAGTCTTTTTACATCAGCACAGACTTTATTAAACTTGCTTTTAGGGAAAATAACTAGACGATAGTTACAGTAACACTAAATAACAACATTAATGCGATGTTAATCAACACAAGGTGCATTACTGCTTGAGGCCTTCACACAGCTGCTCATCAGAACTAGTGCAATAATAATAGTATTTGTATTAGTTACTTCTGTGACTACAGTCACAGTGCTGCTGTGGAAAGGAACCACGACATCCCATAATCAAACTTAATATAAACAGTAACTCAAACTGAAGACCTGCTGAAGCTCACAGTTACAGTGGAGGAGAAACTTTGAATTTATTTTTGGGTTTGAGAGTGAAAAGTGTTTTCATTTAAAACCTTTTGTTGTTCTTCAGAGATTTGACCTGAATGTTTTAGCGGTTTGATAAACTAAAACACTGTTACTGTTCCATATCACCTTTTTTATGTCGTCATGGGATCTCATCCCACTTGTTTTAGGGCAGTCACGTGATGATAGAAGAAGAGAATCATGGGAAATGTAGGAAAACTCATACTTCCACCTGTGTTCAACTAAACATGTGTAGCCTCGCTTAAAGGTTTAAATCCATCGCCTAATGTTTGTTGTTTTTCTGTATTTCTACATTTTAGGATGATCCTGTTTTAGTTATTAAGATTCATACGTATCATACATTTGTTTTGTATTTCATAAGAGTTTATCTTTCAATCTGTGACGCTTTGTAACTTCTGAGAAATACAATGAAAATAAAGTTCACTTTATTTTGAAAGTTTTCATCTTCAGTACAGTAACGTTAATGATTGCAGAAAGACGTGTGGGAGATGAAACGGTATTTCACAATATACTTTTTTTTTTTTAATTAGCTTGACCTCACCACACTAAGGGAACTAGGGGGAACTAAGGGGGGTGATGAGGCGCAGGGGTAGAGCGGCTGCCCTGGGAACTGCAAGATTGGTGGCTCGAGTCCCGGCTGCTCCATGTCCCATGTCAAAATGTCCCTGAGCAAGACACCTAACCCCTAATTACTCCCGGGCTAAGCGTCAGCTACATGACCTGTAATGTAACTGTTTTTAATGTTCTATATGAGCTGAAGTCTCCACCTAGTGGAACAAACGGTACATTCAAGTTTACTAACTTTCTTTTTATTATGAATTAGAAAAAGTTAGTTCTCCAGCAGAGCTGAGCTCATCTTATTATAACCTCACTGACATCGTGGGGAATATTTCCCTCCATCAAGTTTAGTTTTCTGCACATCAAAAAGGATGTTTGTGTGCAGAGTTTCTGAGAAACAGAAGGGTCGCAGACCATCCAGAAGAGGAAGGACGACACACACGCACACGCGCACACAGAGTCTCACAAGCAGCTTCCTCTTGCTGAGGTCAGTTGCCTTCAGAGACTCGTCTCCGCCGGACGCTGCAGAAGGTGAGACCTCCTCCTTTCAGCTTTTCTGTCATGTTTTATCATCACACGTCTCCGTAGAACACGAGCACAAGGAAATGTTGAATAATTGAGTTGATTCTTGTTCTATATGTTGAGCATAATCCTCCATATTGGTGTCATGAATATATTTAAAACCAGACACTTCTAGTTTTTGCTTCTCTTGAAGTCCAAATCACTCGAGGGAGGCTTGGCGTGCTCTGCAGTCTCAAACCACAGTTCCTCTGACTATTGGGGCTTAAACAGGAAGTGTAGCATTGTCATTGATTCAGTGAAATCGCCTATATTTGCCTACATTTCTGCCAAATTTACAATGTTAAGTATGCTGAATTATGTACAAGGAGTTCTTATTTGCAAGGTACTCGTGACTGTACACACAACTGTCACTGGAATACTGTGCTACTTATGCTGAAGTAATCCTAGAAACGTCTGGATTTATAAGGGCCATGCGTGTTTATTAGCAACTGGCGGCGTCAAGCGTATGTGGAGTTACCCACCAGCAGCCTCTGCTCACAGTGGGATCCGCCATGAGCCGCCGGGGGGTCTCGGTCAGGGACCTGGGCCCGCTGGACTGCCAGGGCTGGCTCCTCCGCAGGAAGCAGGGCCGCCGCTTCCTGGGCAGCAGGTGGGTGAGGTACTGGTTCGTCCTGAAGGAGAGTTCCCTGTACTGGTACACCAGCATGACGGTGAGTCCCACAGCAACACCTGGGGAGGACTATGGCAGGTCATTAGTGCCCATATGTTGTGACTATGTAGAACCTTAGATATCTGCACTATTATGACAGCAAATTAAAACTGTTTTTTTTATCACTTTTATACTGTACTATGTTAGTGTGTGTGTATATATATATATATATATATATATATATATATATATATATATATATATATATATATATATATAATGTTGTTACATTACCAGAACAACACAACACAAAGAAATCCAGTGAAGACATTTCATTTGTGGGGGTAGTCTTTTTTTTCCTCTAAACGTAACGATGCTGCTGTGTTATTCGTCTTGTTCAGGCGCCGAAAGCAGAAGGATTCATCCTCCTCTCCGGCTTCACCGTCGAACAGGCCAAACCGTGCAGGAAGAAACAGTACGCCGTGTTCTCTTTGTGGCACATAAAGCTAGCTCGCTAATTCCACCGTGACGTCATGCTACAGGGACATAAAACATAAAGAATGCATCTGATGGTCTGACTGAACTGTTTTTAATCAGCCTTCATTGTGGGCTTACCGCTTAAATTAGGTTGTGCTAACTAGCATGCTAGCTGTTGTTATGATTGTATTTATAGAGACTTATGTAAATATTAATTAGCTGATTAGTAAATTACACCATTGCAACAGGCAGACTTTAGGCGCTCCCCCTCATAGCTTGTTAGTTTAAATGGTTATTGTGTGATGAACCGCTCAGCGTTGTGTTTCAGTGTCATAACAGCCAGCCATCCTCTCATTGTGACTATCTTCATCGCCGCTGAGACCTTCATCGACATGAATAAGTGAGTATTATTACTCTATTATGACGCTGAAAGTGGTGGTAACCATGCTGGTGTCCTGTTTAGATAGATGGATGTGTTTGTCCACCACTTTGGTCCTGATGGAGGTATTGGCCAGAGAGACACTTTTATATACACTCTACATATTCTGCAGCAAACTAAAGACACACCAATTCAGACTTAAAACACTCCTTAATTGTACTTATAATGGCTATTATCTACAGAAAGTTGTAAATCGCCTTATTTGATGAAATTGCACTTTCTTGTTCTTCTGAGTTTGTACCCTTATGGTTGAAATGCACTTATTGTAAGTCCCTTTGGATAAAAGTTTCAGCTAAATGACATGTAATGTAATAAATGTACTAGCAGTCATTGTGTGTTCACTTTGCACTTTAATGTGAACTAATGGCGCGGTTGCAATGTTTCTCCTCCGATCTCAGTTCCTCTTCCTCCTCATTTTCTTTTCTCACTACTTCTGGTTTTGTTCACACTTAATTAAAGATGCCGAGTCACTGTGCGTGCGTGTGTGTGTGTGTGTGTGTAGGTGGCTCAGTAAACTGTCGGAGGCGGCTGGCCCGCGTGGAGAGATCAACGCTGAAGGTCAGATCGCTACGGAGGAAACGTTTATTATGAATATATGATTTTAAATGTGTACGCATGCACAGTGTGGCACGGAGGCCTCTTCGCCTCGCCGTCCTTTTACTTTGTGTAGGTGATGAAATGCACGTGTGCGTGCACGTGTCTTGGTGCAGGGTGCTACAGCGAGGGCAGCGACCAGGACGCCGACGAGCCGTCCGTCACTTCCTCTCCTCCGACCTCTGAGTGCCAAGAAGGCGACTCTGAGGATGTGAGTGAGCGACGTGTGAAGAGAGATTCCCCTCGCTCTGTGTTTCACTCATAGATATTTATGCCCGCTCTCTCGCAGGGAGTCTCCACGGCGAGCGGTGACCGCAGAAGAAGAAGCACCTCGGAGGGCGGAGGTCTAGGTGGCAGCAGAAGAAGAGACGAGGCCCCGCCCCTGCTGGACCTCCCGGAGCCCGATGGGGCCGTCGGGGGAGCGCCCCCCCCTCTGCTGCACGTCAGCCAGGAGGCGCAGGAGGAGGTCGACCACGGTGAACACCTGGTTACCCGCAACGCAACCGGTTTTATACGTTGACGTTTCTCCCGCATGTGTTTTAAAATGGCTGTTTGTAGAGCTGGTTATGAGGGAGACAGCTAGCTGGCTAGCTCATCCTTCTCCGCTAGTTAGCTCGCTAGCTAAGTTCATTCCACTATGCTTTGGTTACAGAAAATGATCCAAACTTCACTTTGGATGAAACATTACGTGGGTAATCACTGTAGTCATTTACGTTGTCTCATTAATACTCCACTGCAAAACAAGTCAGTTATTCTGTAGTTTATTTAAAAGTGCTTGGACGTTAGCCCGCCAATGCGGTCACCATGGCAACGATACTCATAAAAATGGCCGCCCTTTAATCCAACCTGCTGTTTAGATTTGATTGGGAATGTCTATTCGTATTCTTCTCATATTCCTGCCGATACGAATAACACAACTGGATCCACAGACTGAGCTGTCACTAGTTGCATTGTGGGTAATGTAGTTGACAGGAAGAAACAGGCCATATATGGTTTTCTTGCATTTATTTTGATCCTCTCTGGTGTTAAATTGTCCCCTGTGAATCCAACAGAGAGAGATCTCAACATCTAAATAAGTCTCGCTCTCTTTGCAGAGAAGCCGCCCGACGAGATGGAGAACCTCTACAACCACCTGAGGGCCGCCAGCCTGTCTCCCATTGGTCAGTCCAGTGGGCGGGACTTCAGGGCCTCCTTCGTCCGACGCTGTCAGGATGACAGAGTCAACGAGCAGCTCCACCTGCTGCGGATCCTCAGCAGCACGCTGAAGGTGGAGTACTCGGAGTAGAAGTACCACGGTGTACCAGAACTCGTGCATTCAAAATGTTTGCAGCACCCGCATAGAAATACATTAATATATATTATATGTGCTAAAAGTTAGTTTTTATGCAAAACTATATATTATATTACTCGATAGTAATCTTTTATGATGACAACACAATATAGTGAAGTACAGCTAGCTCAGAATCGTACCCTCATACAGTACTTGAATGAGTACTTGTCCGACCTACAGGCCAAAGAGTTGGAGCTGCTGGAGGTAGAGCAGGTGGAGCGGATCCTCGCCAAGCCAACGCTTGCGGCGCCTGAGTACAGGAAGTGGAGACGCTCCAACGGCGCTCTGCTGCAAGAGATTGCTCAGCGGGTGGCGGCTGCTGAGCAGACTTGAAGGTGAAGGTCGTCTCCAAGTTCCTCACACGTTTCTCCACCAGAGTCCAACGAGTGGCCTTTTCCCCCGTTTCATGGATAGAGCTGTTTTTCAAAATAAACTTCTGTCTTCACAGGAAATAAGTGAGTTAAACAAAAGTATGAGACCCATTCAAACAGTGACCTCATGGTGGTGCTAGATGAGTCATTACACTTCTTCATCTGATGGCAATCGGCCCACTGGGCCAGTTTCCCTAACGAACTCGAAAGAAACTCAGTGGAGACTCAATGGAGACGAAACCTTTCAACTCGGTTTCTTCTTTCAAATCGCTTTAAAAAAATATATCTTCAATAATTTTGAATTCACTTGTTTTTTAATGTTTTATTGATTTATAACTGATTTGTCTTTGGTTCTTTGTTTTCACGATTTAAGAAAACCGCAAATTAAAAACTGCAAATGGAAAAAAGTAAAAACAGGAAAATATTTGATGTGAGCTAAATATAAAATATAAATGTAGAATTATTGTTGTCATGATGAAAAACAAAAAACTTCTCCAATATTTATTGATTTTCATAAAAATCATAACATAAAACTAAACAATACGATGTTTAGATTCTTTGTCATGATGAATTTATCAATTGTTAATTTTTATTTATAATGTATCTGTCTTTGTATATAAGTTAAACCTTTTTATGAGAAGTAACTGTCTATTAAAGTTTAAATAATTATTCACGAGATGGACTAAGTACATTTGTTCACCTGGTTTATCTTATTCCTCCACTCCACGACAATTATTATATCATATATCAATTAATAAATGTTATTATAGAGTAAACTACTCAGCAGTCTATGAAATAATCAGAAAAGGAATCCAGTTGTTCTCAAGTACATTTTAGACGGTAGTATTGCAGTTGTTTATCCAATACATTTATTTCAAAGTTTTCAGGTTCAGGTTAATAATACTAAAAATAGTGAATGAATGATCAGGGATCATTGTAGATTTCGTAAATTACCCAGCAGTGTTGGCCGCAGCGTTGCACTCTGGGTGATGGAGTACTTTGGCCAGAAGATGGCGCCATAGAACTTTGTGATGCGATTCAACGCAGTAACCATACAAAGATCGCCTATATAAACAGATTAACTTACTCTGTGGCTGAAATGATTCATCAACGTAAGGGAAAGATTTCTTACAGATTCATTTTAATATTATGTCCAATGCTTTTTAAAAGTATGTTTAACACTCAACATTATACACACAACAGTATCAGTATATCTGCTGCCTAGCATTAGCTCAGTACTTTATTTAATGTAGATGAGCATTTATTAGCTTAGTTAAACATAGCTCTACATTAGCTAATATGCGACATCCTTGGAAAGAGTAGTCCAAACTACTTTAATAATTACTTACTAACTGATTTCCTTTTATTTCTTTACATAGTTACATAGTTTACATAGTCATATAGTTTATTGAATAATATAAATATATATATATATTTATATTATTCAATAAACTATATAATCGCGTCAGAGTGAGACCTCTTCCCGCTGGAGGCTCCGCCCCCCGTGTGAGCGGCGGATTCTTTTCTCTCAGATGTTCAGATCCGATGAAGCGCGAGCTGCTCGGTGAAGCCGCACGCGGGGCCTTTTTTTATTTGTGTGTCTCGCGGAGGGAAAACAAGTTTTGCAGTAAAACGAGAAAAGAAAACAAACAAGGAGAAGACTTTACGCCACTTAACGTTATATTTGTTTGTTCGCCGATGGGAACGGAACGGAGGTAACGATCCCTTTAATGACGTATGAAAACAGACCTGTTGCTTTAAATCGAAACGTTATTTCTATAGATTTAGATAAATCTTATATAGCCTGTTTATATATTTATCCTTCTATATAGCTGTATATATATCTCTCTGTATATATATATATTTTTAAGTTTACAACAATACACCGTACAAAGTTATATTAAATGTCACATTTATGTTCATCATGAGTCAAATGATTTTAATGTTTGCTATTGAACTGAAATCCTCACTTTTTCCTAATTTCTGGACTATTTACAGTGGTTTTGATCTTAGGTTAACTTCAATGTTCACTATTATGAGACGATCTATTTTATTGATCATTTAATCAACTGGAGCTTTTGGTTCGTTCTCAGCAGCAGTTTCACTTCTTAGTTTTAGTTTCTGCAGCTGAGGTGTTTGAAAGTAAATCCTCCATTAGACGCATCGCACTCGCACACATCTAAGATTATTATCTCTGCACATCTTTTTTATGTACTGAACTTGTTCCACTTTCAGTCCGCTGTCTGGCTCTCTGACGCTGTGCAGCTGTATTCATTCTTAAAGAGACATTCATCAATATCTTTATTCTTTACAACATTTTGCATCGATGGAAATGATAGAGACTTAATTGGGAACTAATGGTATTTTGATACTGATGGTATTTTTCTGATCTTCTGATCATTTTTACCCTAAAACAGGGACACCAAACCAACTGATGTAAAAGCAGAGCGTCAGCAAACGTTTTGAGTAATAACACATTTTTATATATATATATATATATATATATATATATATATACACTTAATAAGTTAAGGAAGTATGAATCCCTTTCACGTTCCTTCTTTGGATTCTCCACAGGTGAAACCACGGATCTGCTTTCCTCACATCTACAGTGTCACCCAGCAGGAGCCCTGAGGCCTCACTTCGTTGTACCTCTTTAAAGTTCGGATCTCTTCTACCTCGCTGCGCTTTCGTCTCGGAGATGCCCGTCAGTGACAGGAAACATTTTCACGCCGTGTTTCGGCGGTGAGAAATGTGACCGGGGACAGAAAAAAGGAGCCGAAGCTCGGTTTGTTTGTTTTTGTCTCCTTCCTACCACCCGGACCCCGCCACAGAGAGAGGGGCCAAGATGGCCGACAACAGCCCGCCGCCACCAGCCTCGCCGCGCTCCTCCCCACTCCTTACCCAGCACGCCGCCCCGCCCACGCCGTCCCCCAGCCCGCCGGCCACGCTCTGCAGCCGGCTCTCCGACAGCAGCCCGACGGCCCCCAGCCCCACCGGCTCCCGGGGGTCCGTCCACGGGGTCTCCTTCCTGGTCCAGATCGGCCTCACCAGGGAGACCGTCACCCTGGAGGCCGGAGAGCACTCGCTGGCCGCCGTCAGGGAGCTGGTGTGCTCCATCGTGGACCACAAGGTACGCTTGTTTGTCCGACCGGACCTCGACACCCGAAACACGCCGTCGGTTCTGACTCACACCGGCCCGTAGGTTAGAATATTCTTGGTAAAACGTGGCGCAGCTTTTCCTCAAAGCGGCTCTTCAGCCCTCTGCTCTCCACGCTAACTTCATGAGCTGTTCTTTACCACTTGCACTGAGCGCACCACCCGTGTTTACGGCTTTGAGTGTGTTTCCCGTCACGTCACTGACACACACACACACACACACACTTTGCAGCAAACCATCCTTCTGTTTTGCAGAGCGGGGAAAACCCGGCGATGCCCTCATTTGATCCTCTGGTTCCTGCTGCTGCTACTCGTCCAGCCTTTCAGTGATTGGCTGACTGATTGACCGATTGATTGCTTGATTGGTTAGTCTGCAGAGGTCCTCCAGTCGGTGTGAATGGTTTCTTAGAGGCATTGCACGCAGCTTTTGTCGTCTCTCGTCGCCGAGTGAGGAGAAAAGTCTCTGAGAGGGAATGTTGCTCTGTGGTTGTCGTTGTTGCCACGCCAACGCTCCACACTTCCTGTTTCGCAGCTGTGTGCGTTGTGTCTGGAGGTGCGCAGGGTGGGGGGGTCCTTCAGCAAAAAAGCATTCAATTCTGAGAGCTGAATTCTTTGTAGATGTGCAGATGTAGGCTGAGGATTTGTTTTGTTTTTGGTTCGCTTCGATCCATCCGGGTGTTTTGCTCCAGCTGGTGGTCACTAGAGGAACTGCTTCGATGGAGCGGCAGACCTTTCACAGCGGTTGTTCTTGAGAGAGCATAAAGAACCCAGCAGGAACTTCCTGCAGGAGCTCACGATGGAACTCGGCCTACAGAAAAAAATGATATCATCAGTGGAATTCACTCGTTCCTGCTTTTGTGTCCACATCGTAGCGCTGTGATGGTCGTCTGTGGGTGGAGGGAAGCTTCAGGTCTGATTTACTGCTGTTCTACACCTCCTTCCTACCATCTGTGTGTGTGTGGGGTGGGGGGGTGGAGGGGTGAGGAAGTAGGGAAGTACCCCTCCCCTGTGGGTCGCCACACTGACCACACACATCCTTTTGTTGACAGAACGCTAACAAAGCGTTTAGCTGCAAAAGAGACAAATATTCCCCCTGAAGGAGGAGACCAAACACAGAGCCAAAAAACATCTTTGTGCAGTGTTATATATTCTTTTCATCAAAATAAAATATTACTGAACGATATATTATTTATACATAATAATACTAATACTAGTAATATTTATAATATTTATTTGTTATTCCAGCGGCCCCTGAATGCAGCATATCGTTCTACCCAGACTTTCCTCTGATTTCATCAGAACATTAAAGACACGCAGACATTTGAATGTGAAAACAGAAATGGCTCGTTTAACCTGCTCTTTCTTTACCTGATAATCTGATAAGAAACAGGAAATGGTTCAGTTTCCTGTTGAAACAGGAAATAGATCTTTAAGGTTTCTTTGTTTTGTCTTGGCAGGTTTAATCAAACCTGACGCTCATTTGCATGAAATGAATTGTGTCATAAGGTCATCCGAGGTAATAATGACACTCATTGACTTAATATACAAATTTAAAGTGTTACATTTTTGACCACTATACGACATGGATGCAAACATGGAAGTAAACACTGAAATAAGAAAATATTCAAAGCTGCATTCACATCGTTATGTTAGGTAGAGAAACTTTATTATCTTAATCTGGTGAATTGATCCAGAGGAAACACTTTAACACACAGACACACACACACTGAGGAGGGAGGATGTTTTTGTGGTCAGATTGACACAGATGTGTGTGCGTGTGTCAGCGAGGAGACCAGGTGGAGCAAGGCACTACTGTGGTTTGTGGTTGGTTTCCCGGTTGATGATCATTTCATTTCTAGAGAATTCTTGAATTAGATTTAGTACTTGTTGGAATATTTTAAGACACTGATGGACGTCTATCACTTGTTTTTAATGAAAAAGTTTTTGGGGAAGATTTGAATGAGCTCATTTATACTGAAATGCAGAACTCTCATATTAACAGTGAACCTAAGATGAGGCGAAGAGTAGAGAGGTCAGAGGTCACGCAGCCGCCTGGTAAACAGCATCTTTAAAAAAAAAAAAACTTGAATATGAAGCGAGTGAAACAATCCCTTTTCTTTTATTATTTCTGTTTCAGTCCCTTTTCTTACTAACTTGTATCTGAAGAGGACGAATGAAACAAATGTCTGTCACGCTGACGACCTTGGACCCACTCGGCGCCTCTTCCTGTTTGTTTCCTGAGCGAAGGCGGATGCTGCGCATGTTTACCTTCATATTTCCCATCAGCCCCTCTGGGTGTGGAGAGTTTTATTGGAGCTGAAAGGCCGAAAGGGTTCTGTTTGTTTCGTCGGAAACACAACATGATAAGCTCCATATTAAAATAAATGCTTGGATCATGAATCGATCCGTTTGGTGAGAGTAGATTCAATTAAACTTTACCTAATGTAGCCAAGGAGAAATGCAAAGAGCAGAATAAAAGACTTATAGAATAAACAGTGGAGATATTGCAGTATGCACATGGTATCAGTATACAATTCAGGTATCACATGCAGATGTTAAAGCTACAGGTTGTTGAATAAAAAATAAATGAAAATAGATAAATGAAGTTTTGCTGCTGGACACAAGGTCCCCGTTTAGACGTCGCACTCTTATAAAATCCCTGCAACCTGATTGGCTCCCCACTGCTTGTCACTTTTAAGGTGTGTGTCTGTGTATATGTATGTTTGTGTGTGATGCTTTTAGAAGGATTATGGGTTTCCTTGAAAACACTTAGTCCATCTGATGGCATGAGTGCTGTGCAGAGTGAGAGGTGATGGATAAGTTAGACTCTCCCCCCTTCTCCCCGGCCCCCTTGTTCCAGCTCCTGCTGCGGGGTCAAAGGTCACAGCACGGCCTGGAGGATTTGACCTCTGTGGCCCCGATAACCTAAAGACTGCGGGGTCTTCAGAAATGTGGATTCAGTTAAGTGTGTGTGTGTGTGTGTGTGTGTGTGTGTGTGTGTGTGTGTGTGTGTGTGTGTGTGTGTGTGTGTGTGTGTGTGTAAGCCTGGTTAATGGCGGATCAACCACAAAGAGGGGATCAGTGTGTATTAAATATTAAACACACACTCTTGTCCATTAACAGAACTCTTGCTGTTGCTCCTCGGACGCACCAGCTGACCACAAGCTGTCGTGTGATTGGATGAGCGAGTCGTCATGGTTTCATAGCTGCTGCTTCATCTGTCTGCCTGTCCCTGTGTGTCTCTGTATGTCTCTCTCTGTCTGTCTTTCAGCACTGCATCCATAGCTCAGACATTTTGTCTCATAGCTCTTTAGTCTACAACAAAACAAAGAATTTAGTTCCATAATAAAGGAGAAGTATGTATTTAGTTTATTAAACCTTTTGGATTTGTCTGTCAAACTGGAACTTGTCTTTCTGTACTCGCTATCACACTGAAGCTCCGACACCCACCTTGAACGCGCCGTCACACAGAGAATAATGGTTTCATCTTATGAGTTTTACTTGACCACATAGAAATGTGTCTTAATAAGAGAGATGTGGATGTTTGCAGTTAATAAATCAAAGAAACTAACAATATGTATAGGTTTTATTCTGTAATTCACTGTGAGTTTATTCTCATCACCTTCTCAGATTCTCTTTTTTTCAGGAATGTTTGACTTTAACAGCAAATTGCCACTGAGTCAAAGTGAATCGCTGACCTCCTCTTCCTCCTCCTCAGTTTCCCGAATGTGGATTTTTCGGGATGTACGATAAGATCCTCCTCTTTCGCCACAACCTGAACTCGGACAACATCCTGCAGCGCCTGAGCTCAGCGGAGGAGATCCACGAGGGCGACCTGGTGGAGGTGGTTCTCTCCGGTAGGAAAACACTCTGTTTCGCTCTCAGTTCACGTGTTATTTTGACCCTCGTGGTGGATTCATTCCCTTTGTAATCCATCAAATAATTGAAATCAATAAATATCAACACCGTTGAGCCAGAACAGAGAATCGTCAAATTTAGGGGGATTCATCCCCTGGGGACCAGGAATGGCCATTTCCAGGTAATTCATCCAGGTTTAATCCTTATTTTGTTTTGTGTCAAACGTCTTAAGCGCGTTAAGGCCAAAGACACCGTTTTATTCCCCGGCCCTCTGAGCGGTGAGCTCGCCTCAGATCTCCTTCCTTCCTCCGGCTCAAAGCGTAACATCGTGTACGAGGTCGTCATTTCCTGAGTCGAATCAGCGACACCTGAACAGACAAACATGCGGACGCTCGGTCTGGATCCCACGGAGAAGATCGGAGCCTGCAGACCGCACCCAGGGCTTCAAACCCGCGACCACTTCCTGCTGCTGCAGCGCCGAGTCCGCCGCTCGCTGCTCTGGAATAACAGAGGAGGCGTCTCATCACTCGATCACGTTTACACTAAAAGAAGCTCACGTGGTTTTTCAAGTCAGGTTATTTGAAGCCAACCGAAATGGAACAATTGATAAAATATTGTTTTTATATTGACTAATCTCACAACATATCTCGTCATTATTGTGCTTTAAGGTCTTGTTAAGTTAAAGATATCATAATTAATCTATAATATCTATTTTATATTCATGTTAAAACATTTTTTTACCCAAACTACATTTTACAGATTACACATGAACACATCACAATAAAGTTCTCATTTTCACTGAGTGAAGCCTGAATGCATCTCAATCTAAGTGAACCTCCTTGGTTATCCGTTAGCGATGCGGCTAACGTTACTAGCGTCTCCTCCCGTGGATCTAAACACTGATTGGTTGTTTACAATGTCACATGATCAGAGTCTAGAAAACTTTATTTACACCATGAATAAATTCAAGTAGTTAATCTAAAGACGTGAAAAGAGGTATCATTAAACAAAGAGACTAATGTGAAAAATGAACTCCATGAATAGTAAAATAGTTTTTGTTTTCAGCTCTGGCCACAGCCGAGGACTTCCAGATCCGACCCCACACGCTCTACGTCCACTCCTACAAGGCGCCGGCCTTCTGCGACGACTGCGGGGAGATGCTGTGGGGCCTCGTGCGGCAGGGCCTCAAGTGTGAGGGTGAGACTGTGCTGCACTAGGGTGGGGGGGGTGACCCACACGGGGTCACGTAAGGTCGCGTGGCGACGTAGAGATGGGCATAATAGTTATCTAGTTATCTTATCAATAATCTTATTGGTTCTTTTTGTGCATATTGTGAGAAAAAAAGGTAATCTATTCTGACGGAATCGCTGGTCACACGCGATGCGTTCAAAGACCGTCTGAAAAAGGAAAATCTGACGCTTTTTTACCGCTTCTGGCTGTGATGAACTTTCTTTGAACAACTGTTTAAAGATATCTGGGGTTTGATCTCTTACTACAAAGTTTGTCGCGACCGACCCGCCGCAGGAATCAAACCATCGGACCGGAAGACAAACCTGCAGCCTAACCTGCAGCCTAACCACAGAGCGGTGAAGTGAATGAGTGATCTCCTCCTCAGGATGTGGGCTGAACTACCACAAACGCTGTGCGTTCAAGATCCCCAACAACTGCAGCGGCGTGAGGAAGCGCCGTCTGTCCAACGTCTCGCTGCCGGGCGCCATCGCCCGCCCGCCGTCCACCGAGTTCACCCCCGTGCCGCAGGACGAGGTGGGTGTGTCCAAAGTAATACTGCTTTGGTCTCGTTAATCTTTTGAAGTAAAGAAGTAAAACGTAACAACATGCTTCACAACAGAAGAGGGAACATCGAGTAAAACACAAAACAGACGCCAAGCTGAACAATTAAAGACACCCAAAACTAAACCGGGGCTCTTCAGTCGGTTTTAAGTGTCACCACATCGTCACTCAAAAGTACTTTAGTACACGTACTTTAGTACACGTATATACGTGAGATCAGTACTCGAATGAATGTAATGAATGTTGTTTCCTTGTGTCGGCTGAATGGGAAAACTCCAGTTCCACCCTGAAGGTCTCATGTGAATGTGTGTCAGGACGTAGCGGGCCTCCCGCCCCCGTTGCATGCTGGGATATGCTTAGTAGTAGATAGTTCACTGTGTGTGTGTGTGTGAGGAGAAGTCAGCGGAGCGAAAGCCGGTTTAGAGGTTGACTAATGAATGACACACACACACTTTCCACGCTAGCAGATCTGCGTTGTGCAACCAATGAGCCATTCCCAGTGGTCTCACACACACACACACACACACACACACACACACACACACACACACACACACACACACACACACACACACACACACACACATGCTCTCTGATGGCTGCAGGCTAACCACTGGATTTTTCCATCCCAAGTCCCAGTCAGAGCTCCGCGCGCTCTGGAACAAACACACTTTTATCTGCTCGATCACACACACACACACAGACACACACAGTGTTGTGAGGAACATCTGCTGTCTGCTGCTGTCGGAGTCGTTGAGTAGCGACACTGATTGTAAGCGCCTCTGTTCTTTGATACTTTGGACCCATGAAGTTTCAGTTCGGACGCATTTCTCTCTTATTTTCCTCCGGCCGCACACATCAGCATCCAGCCATGTTTAGGATGTTGTTTCTTCTGTGAATACCCCCCCCACACACACACACAACCTACCTCATAAATATATAAGTATTGTTCCTCCATCGGCACCAATATCTTCTTTCTAGCAAAGAGTTTTATATTTAGTTTTAATGTCGTTTATACAGTAAAATTTGTCTCTGTTTTTTCCTCTTGATTTAAAAGCTCTTTGTGGCTCGTTGTCTCTCGTACTGAAGATCTGTTGTATCACATTCTGTAAATGCGTCGCCTCCTGATCTCTGACGGGTGTTTTAAACCCCCCCCCCCCCCCCTCTCCCCCAGCGCCCCCTGCTGGGCGCCGCAAAGCGGAACTCGCTGCTGAGTGGCCGTCCCATCTGGATGGAGAAGATGGTGCTGGGCCGGGTCAAAGTGCCCCACACCTTCTCCGTCCACACCTACACCCGTCCCACCATCTGCCAGTTCTGCAAGCGCCTGCTGAAGGGCCTCTTCCGCCAGGGCATGCAGTGCAAAGGTGACCCCCCCCCCACAAAGACCCACCAATCCAGATCCTCCAAACCTGAGCGGACGAATGTTTGACTCCCTCCCGTCTGTTTAGATTGTAAGTTCAACTGCCACAAGAGATGTGCGGCCAAAATCCCTCGTGACTGCCTCGGGGAGGTGGACTTCAACGGAGGTGAGTTCCTACACAATAAGAGCAGGGGGGGACATTCTGCACTCTGGGTAGAATGATATGTAGTGAGGCAGCATCTGCACATATACTAAGAGCCAAGAGAGATTATTAAAACCCTAAAAGTGTCCTTGTTCCAAAGATAAAAGTTTATTTTATAAAAAATGATTTCTTTACTGAGGAATGCTTCCAGGAAACCTTGAAATGACCAAAAGCTCATCAAGGGGTGAAGAGGCCTATTGGAACGTTTTCAACGTCTAAATCGATAAGTTCTCAACAACAAGTGGATCAAACCGTTTCTACTTGCTGCATTTCAAAATAAAACTCCATGTTGACGTTGGAAGAAGTGAAAGTAGCTCCTAAACGCCATAAACTGTGCATCCACATGAAGGTCCAGAAGAGACGTCCCCCCGGGGGCCGTTAGAGGAACTGCAGCGTGACGGATAAACGCTGCACGTTGTTCTGGGTCTCATCAGTTGTGTCCTCTGACTCTTTGTGCTGCTCCAGAGCCGGCGTGTCCCGGCCCGGACTCCGAGTCCACCATGGAGGTGGACGGCTGCGACGCCGGCAGCCTGGACGAGCAGGACGACAAGCTCTTCTTCACCGAGGGACCCGAGAGGGACGACGAGACGCTCCGAGCCATCAGGTGACCCCCCCAAGATCAATGTGTAACAATTCTGTCACTAATGAAAAGTTTGATTTGCTTTCTTGGTTCGCTGTTGGGGGGGTAACTTTAGTTATTTCGGTAACTCCTGCAGAATAAAGCACATCAGTAACTCTATGACTCCGCTCTATTTACATTTCCTAAAGTTAAAGCCGGCTGTTTTATTAGAATCTTTAGCTTGAATCTTTTTCAGTGCTTTAATTATAGTTATTCAAATTGTTTTCTGTCCCTTTTTTACTTTTTTTTAACTTGTGAAATCCGTCATTTTGAGAAGCTTATTGTTCGTCTTGATGATACTTTGTGTGCAGGAGTCAACTTTTTGTCCGTTTCAGTCAGTACTCTGAATGAGTTGTTGTGTTCCCGTGTGTGTCTGCAGCCCGTGCACCAGCAGCAACATCCCTCTGATGCGAGTGGTTCAGTCCATCAAGCACACCAAGAGGAAGAGCTGCACCCTGGTGAAGGAGGGCTGGATGGTGCACTACACCAGCAGGGACAACATGGTACATCCACCACATCACATGTCACATGGACAGTTGGAGAACGTGTGTCGTCCACTAAACGTGTGAAAACAATAAGCAATAAACAATCCCACCTGAAATCCTGAAATCCAGAGTGTGGGTCATGCGCCCTCGTGGCTGTAACATATATGTATATATATATATATATATATATATATATATATATATTCTATATACTTGTGTGTTGAATAGTGCTCTGAATGTGTGCAGCTGTTGTCCTGATGTGCGTTGTTTGCTCTTCCCAGAGGAAGAGACATTACTGGCGGCTGGACAGCAAAAGTCTGACGCTTTTCCAGAACGAAAGTGGAGCCAAGTTTTACAAGGTAGGAGAGCCGCTCGGCCCGGATCCGCTTTCACTGGAACAAAGCGCCGACGTTGGGGGGTTTGGGGGGGGGGTCATACTGTACATATTAACATTCATGAGGCATTCAGACACGTCGCTGTCTGAGCAGGTCACCTTCCACTGCGAGAGGAATAAGAGAAACAAGGAAATCAACGAGTCCTTTTCTAAACCCGTCATTTATTTCCACACAACATATTTTAGACACGTGTAGCTAAATTAATAATTCTGTATGATGCATCTTAAATAACACCTGTCCTCTCGTGGTCCTCACTAAAAACAAAGCGTTTGTTTGGAGTTTCCTCACAATAAGAAATGAGCTCCTTTCCTCATCGCGTCCTTCTCTCCGTCTCCAGCTCCTTTCATCTCGCTCTACCGGCGACCCGCTGACCTTCACCACAAAGCGCCGCTTCCTTTGAAGGCGAAAGCCAGAGGGTGGAAAGGGGGGGGCGTGGGTGGATTGGGGGGAGGAGGGTTGAGGGGGGGGGGTCCTGGTCGCTTCCCCAACGTTTCTCTGGCTCGTCGCCTCGCTGCCTCGTGCCCAAAAGCTGTGGAGGCACGTCCTGTGTTTTTAATAAGAGCGGCGTGATGAATGGATGACGATCGGGGGGAGGGGGGGCAGGGGGAGTTATGGGGGGGGGGGGTTAAGTGAACTTTGGCTAAACACAGAACGTTGGAATGCCTCTGGGGGGCACAGAGACGCCGCTCTCCTGCTCCTGTGTTTGATCTGGAAGGAAGGAAGGGAAGTTTCAAACACTGAGACTCGGGGAGCGTCTCCCAGTCCATCCGAGCGAGGGGAGGAGTCAGCGTGGCGTGCGGGTGGCGTGCGGGTGGCGTCCTTCGCACCTCGTGCTCCTCTTTCAAACCGACTCGCGTCTGTAGAGCGAGAACGGGAAGACGGGAGAAAGGAACCTTCATGGGGCCGTCAAAATCCTCCCCTCTTCTTTCCCTCCCCCAGGAGATCCCCCTGTGCGAGATCCTGCGGGTGGAGGCGCCTCTGGACCCGGGCGGGCTGCCGGGGGGCGCCAAACCGCCCTGCTTCCAGGTGATCACGGCCCACGTGGTGTACTACGTCGGGGAGGACGGCCCCCCACCCAACACAACCCCGTGCTGGCGCCGAGCGGCGCGGGGCGCGAGGTGGGCCGCAGCTGGGAGAAGGCCGTCCGGCAGGCCATGATGCCCGTCACGCCCAAGGCCAGCGGGGGCGGCGCCGGGCCCGGCCAGGGGCGGGACCACAGTGAGTGACAGCTGGAGAGCATGTTGTCAGGCACGACTGTAGAGTCTAAGACACTTTGATCAGAACAGAAATGCATTGAAGGCAAATAGTATTAATAATGTCGATAATATCCTCGTGTAAATGTGCCGATGATGAAACTAGCAAAACACTGGTGAGCTTTGAACACTCGTTTATACTTTATTAATATTCTCTGAAACACCAAAACCAAAACTACCTGAAGAATCGAAAAGACATCATCTATTTCCGTAGTTTCCATGGTTACACACGAGGGGAGCAAGAAGATTCAGCGTGGTTCTGAACATGATCCCTGAGGTCCTCCAAGGGATAAAAAACATAAAGAATTAACATTTAAAATATCTTTGCGTATTTTAAAACTGAATTCGTGTGCGAAAACGTATATTTGATATCAGATGGAAAATTATGTTTCATGAGAAGACTGTTATACAACACACACACACACATTTTAAAGTGATTGAAGGGATTCCAGAGGATTTTACGCTCTAATTCTTCTCAGGTTAAAGTGTATTTATTCAATTTAATCCCAAATTGAGCTCTCCTGCATTAAATACCTAAATGGACTGTTGTTGTTATAACAAGTTATAAAAACCTTTGTGTTTTCCAGCTGTTGAGTAATTAATGTTGAGCTTCTTATTTTTCCCCACAGTAGATTTGTTTTGTCGGGCGACATTACGGACATCAATGATAAGTTAATGGAGAGTTTGATCACTGTAATAATCACTTTAAAATAACAGTAACGTTAATAACAAAAACAAAGATGAATGGAACTAGATGACACATAATAAGCAGGTAAATATAAAACTACTCAAGCTCTAAACAGAGTATAATAAAAGTTATATGAACTATGTTCATAAACTATAACAACTTTATAACTATAGTTAACTATGTTATAGAAACAATACGTTATCAGATGTTTTGTCTGTATTCATACTACCAAAATCTTGTTGTAATCAGTTGTAAGTGAGCTTAGCATGAGGTCTGGACTTATTTATACTTCTGTTTTTGTACAAATAATTGACTAAAATGCATTATGGTCATTTATGATGAGGTGCAAGTAGGTTTTTTTTAAATTCCGCCTAACTGCTGCCACCTGTTTCGATTTCAAAATAAAAGCCTTTTCCACTGAGGCACACAGTCCGACTCCACAGTTGTTACATAAAGTCTGCGGGCGATGACCTGGACGTCATCAAGTCGCCCACCTCCAGCCGACCGGCGGTATTGATCGCAGGGAGGGACGACCCGATCGGGCCCCGGGTCAGCGATCTGCAATCAATACTCGTCAGTGGAAACAGAACGCGCCCTCGGCCCGTCGGAGCATCGCTCCCTTTTATCTGCGCTCACGTATTTGAACAAAGAGACGGGACGTTTTTTTGCAAAAAAACTATTTGTTGATCGTTAGGAAGTGAGACTTCAATTATCTGAAGGTTTTATAAATAAAAGGCCTTGTTTATGCGTCATGTTGTTTGTCTCCTCAGAGGACGTCTCCGTCAGCATATCAGTGTCCAACTCCCAGATCCAAGAGAACGTGGTGAGTCTTCACTCCAGGTCTCAGTCACAATCATTCACTCAGCTCACGGATGACAATTTACATCATGTAATATAATGGATTTCAAAGCTTGTTTACAATGATGATAAGAAAAGATTTAAATTGATTTATCTAACTGTCTTTCATAGAATATAATAAAAGCAAACCATTAGGCGTATCAGTGAATAAATCCCTAACGCTGCACATCTCTACCTGAGGATTCTATTTAGATCCTGACAAAAAGACACGTTTTCTTGTCTCCTCCTCAGATGAAAAGGTCCCTGTTGCTCTTCTGTGCCTCCGTACTGTGAATCAATGTTCTAATGTCGGTTTGTTGGTGTCATAAAGACTCACGTTAAACAGTGAAACCGCCGTGCTCTTTTACAGGACATCAGCTCGGTGTACCAGATCTTCGCCGACGAGGTCCTCGGCTCCGGTCAGTTTGGGATCGTCTACGGAGGTGAGAGGCTCAGAACTTCCCCACAGTCCAAATCAATGAAAACCCAGAGGAGTGGAGATCTGAGTTGTTCCTCCTCCGCAGGTAAACACAGGAAGTCCGGCAGGGACGTGGCGATCAAAATCATCGACAAAATGAGGTTCCCCACCAAGCAGGAGAGCCAGCTGAGGAACGAGGTGGCCATCCTGCAGGTAGGACGAGTAACATAAAACAGACAACAGCTACTTGAGATCCACGGCTAAACGTCTCCGCCCACAGAACCTGCACCACCCGGGCATCGTCAACCTGGACTGCATGTTCGAGACCCCCGAGCAGGTGTTCGTCGTCATGGAGAAGCTCCACGGCGACATGCTGGAGATGATTCTGTCCAGCGAGAAGAGCCGCCTGCCCGAGCGCCTCACCAAGTTCCTGGTCACACAGGTGAGGGACCACCAGCGGCCACCCGCTGAAAATGTTTCATGTAGGACCTTCAGGGTCTCCCGTGGGACCTTCACGGTCTCCCGTAGAACCTCAGACTCTCCTGTAGGACCCTCAGGGTCTCCTCGGTGTCCCCTTCTCACTGAGCTCCTGTCCCACAGATCCTGGTGGCCCTCAGACATCTCCACTTCAAGAACATCGTGCACTGTGACCTGAAGCCGGAGAACGTCCTGCTGGCCTCTGCGGAGCCCTTCCCTCAGGTCAGAACCCCCCCGAGAGAGCTCCGTCTCTGTTATTGCGTCCTTCGCCTAACCCCCCCTCCGCCTCCACCTGTCCCTCCAGGTGAAGCTCTGCGACTTCGGCTTCGCCCGCATCATCGGCGAGAAGTCGTTCCGGCGCTCGGTGGTGGGCACCCCGGCCTACCTGGCCCCCGAGGTGCTGCGCAGCAAAGGCTACAACCGCTCCCTGGACATGTGGTCGGTGGGGGTCATCGTCTACGTCAGCCTGAGCGGCACCTTCCCCTTCAACGAGGACGAGGACATCAACGACCAGATCCAGAACGCCGCCTTCATGTACCCGTCCAACCCGTGGAGGGAGGTGTCCGAGCACGGTGAGGACGCGATGGAGTCATTTCATCAACCGATGAGTCGAGTGGATTTACAATAAAACTTATTTTAACAATGTGTCATTATTTTAAGTGTATTTTAGTTAAACAGAAACTTTCTTGACCTGGATTTGCAGGATGTAGAATATTATAATTTTGTAGAAATTTTGCCTCAAAGCAGTTTTAAAATGTCATTTAATCAACTGTGAAGTATGTCAGACGTCTGTTTTACGTTTCATCTTAGAAATGTTTGTATTCAGCATTTAAAATGAGTGTCTGTTCCTCCTCACAGCCACGGACCTCATCAACAACCTGCTGCAGGTGAAGATGAGGAAGCGCTACAGCGTGGACAAGTCGCTGAGTCACCCCTGGCTGCAGGTGATCACCTCACTACATCCTTGTGTTTTAACACGACGAAAACCTTACAGGCAGAAAACGTTGCACAATGTAATGATGGAGAAAAGGTTTTATTCAGGGAAACTGGTTCCTGTCTTTAAATCCCAGTTCTCAATCTCTAGTTGCAGGTCTTCAGTACAGCATGATGTTCATTTAGTGAATGTTGGTCCATTTAGAGTCAAACAGACCATGAAGCAGGGGATGCTTTAGGGCGGGGCTTACTGTGATTGACAGGTCTCTACAAGAGAACACTCTGCTTCATAACATCGGCCCCCAAACCAACAGGTGACATCACCATTATGTGCTTATGCCCCCCCACAGGACTATCAGACCTGGCTGGACCTCCGGGAGTTTGAGACGCGGCGCGGCGAGCGCTACATCACCCACGAGAGCGACGACGCCCGCTGGGAGGAGCACGCCGACGAGAGAGGCCTCAGCTGCCCCAAACACTTCATCATGTCGCCCAACCTGGACGACATGGACGAGGACCCCTAGGGCCCCCCCGCCCCCCCCTCCAACGGGTAGAGACATTGACATTGGAAGAGACGTCCTGAGAAGTTTTATGAAAAAACATTTGTCCTTTCACTGAGATTTTTTTTTCTACGAGCCATAATGGAGCCAAAGGCTGGAGGGAATTTTTTACCCCCAAATTAAATATTGTAGCTGCAGAACGGCGACTCACTAAAGAACAAATCCAGAACCTTCTTGGACTTTTTCAGCTCAAACTAGTATTCTTGATGACGTCGTCGTTGCGTTTCAGATCTCCTGAGGATGTGCAGACTTTCTATTTGATGCTGACCAGCAGAAAAACGTGACGTTGTGATTACGATCTGAATATAAGCTCCGTCCTCTGGATGTTCCCTGTTGGGAGGTCTTTGCACTATTGAGAAACTCCTTAAAAAAGGAGAGTTCACTACTCATAACTTTTTAGCTTTGTTCATCTGCAAAAACGTGAACTTGATGCTGACAAACCAAACAACTGTCAAGTAAAAATACTGTGTTCCACGTAGCATCGTCACTCGCTAACCGTAGCATGCTAACATGTCAATCCTTTGGCTTGTTAAAAGAAGCTCAGAGAATAAGAGCAGCATTTTAGTGACACGCTGTTAGTATCCGTCTGTTATTATGAGAGCCAGTGTTTATTTATGCAGAGAAACAAATGTATGAAGTTATTTCCAGTGAATCTATTTGGATGAAGATCAAGCTGCTATCGGATCCCAGCCTGAGAATTCATTTCACACCTTTTATATTTTTGCAAGAAATTTGTCACGTGGACAATTTTTAATGGGAAATTATTAAATCGTTTTCTTTGATATTTAACTGTCTTTGATTAAATTATTTTCAGGATACAAATCAAGTCCTTTTTTTGACAAGATGCTGGAAGAGGTCAAAGGTCAGCAGAGGAAAGTTTGAATATCTCATTTGAATGTTTTTACCCTTCAGAATATTTTAGTTAATTTACAATATTCAGTAAACCAAGAACATTATACTCCACATTTGATAGTTTGTGTTTTATTTTATAAACTGAGACGGAGAAAATCTTTCTCCAATGGTTCTAATCCAGAATTAAGTAATATTCAAAACTATGGTTTAATGATAAACTCCACAAATGTATGACCGGTCTGGTTTGAGGCAAAAAAAGCAGAAAATGATGTTTAAAACGATCATTTTTTAACTGATCCGGAACCGTCTCTCACACAAACGGAACCGAACCGTTTTCCACCGGAGGAGAAACTCGGCGAACTGCTTCAATACGTGGGTCAAGGCAGCGCAGGTTGACCTCTGACCTTCAGTCACAGGTCTCTCTCGGTGCAGCAGGTAGTTCGGCGATGCAGAAACGAACAATTCAGGTATTCTTTTGGTGGTTCTGATGTAGCATTGTCCCTCGCTAAGCTTAGCATGCTAGCATGCTTATTGTCAACATGGTAAAGACCAAAGAAAAGCTGTTTTTGTATCACCAGTTGGACAATAAACAATAATAAGCTCTAGTTTCTGTCCTTTCTGTCCCACCAGCTTGACCTCATTCAGGAGAAGCTGAGCTCCGTGAATCCGGCCACAGGCGGCGGCGCCGGCCTCTTCTTCCTGATCTCCAGCTTGGGCCCGTCGGGTCGGGGCGGGTGGGCCAGCCGGCCGCGGTGCAGCAGGCAGAAGAAGAGGAAGCGCTCGCCCATCTTAGCGGCGTTGGTCAGCAAGTCGTAGCTGTCGATGAGCTGCTGCCTGGTGGACGCGTCGCTGCAGCTCCTCAGGAGAACCTGCAGGGGAACAAAGACCTCCATTTATCATTGTGAACAAGGGAAGTAGAAGGGAAAACATCAGAGATGTAATTTATTGTGACAGATTATCTTCACTCGAATATTATAAATAAATCAACAACCACAATATCTCGGGCAAATGAACCGATTGGATGGACGACACTCCCGAGGTCAGTGGGCAGAACGCGGTCACCTGCATTCGGGAGTCGATGCCCATGTTCTTCAGGAAGGTCCTCTGCGTGACGGGGCCCAGACAGGCCACGCCCTCTCCCGCCACCCGCCGCAGGAAGCTGAAATCCACGTCGGCGGTGAGGTCGGCCGATCCGGGGCAGGACAGGACGTCGTGGAGCCGGTGGCCTTTGAAACCCTGACGAGCAACAACGAGCAAAGTGTCACCGCGAGAAAATGTGCTTCATTAAACTGCTTTGTATTGCTCAGTTTATTTAAATGATGGTGTGAATATTGAAGAGACGCCGCTTTGAGGTCTGAATCTCAAATGGTCACCACGGTAACCTCAAACTGAGCTTTCCTCTCCGACAGGTGCTCCCTCATAAGGGCCCCCCCCCTCACCCTGAAGGTGTCCGTCTTGGTTCCGTCGTGGCCGTAGTCGGCGATCAGCGCTGCGCCGCCGTCAGCTTCGATGCGCCAGGCCAGCTGCTGCACCAGCACGCCGCCCTCCGCACACACCTCCACGTGAGCCCGCCTTTCATCCGCCTGACACACACACACACACACACACACAAATACATAATTAATCACTTCTCTCTCTGTCCACCAGTCACACGCAAACAGATTGTTGTTTTATTTCTAAGTAAAGGATTTTGTGTCGGAGCCTGAACCCCTCATGGGGACGACAATGATGACAAGATGAAGAGGATGTCAGGCAGGAAGTTCAACGTGAGCAAGAGAGGAATCAAAACCGACCGCTAAATTATAGGCGGTTTAAATGTGGGCAGAAAACACGCGACAGAGGCTATTAAGAAAAAAACCTCAGAATTCATCTGATGGAATTCAGAGGATTAAAGAAGTTTAAATCAACTCTGTTAAGTCCTCCGCTTTAAGTCTTGACATTTGTGCTGTTTTCACGAGCTCCCTCTTGCAGACGTTGGAGCGTCTTCCTTTCCGGTTCTCTCACCTGTACGAGCGTGGACGAGGCCAGAGTCGGTGACGGAGCCACGACGAACCGCAGCTGCTCCGTCTTCTCCGGGTCGATGTCCACCATCACCTCCCTCCATCCTCTCTGCGTCCTCTGGGAACACAAAACGTCACCTCAGTGCCGGGACGCTTCGGCTCCACCCGGTGGCGGTGTGGTGTAATGACACGCTGGCCCTGAGGTCACAGGAGGAATCCCTCACCCGCAAAACATCAACCAAAGTAATCAAAGAAAAACAAATGCTGATCATTAAGTTCTTCACAGAACAGCTTTAAAACAAACCTGGAATTTGTGGATCGGCAGAGCGTCAAAGAACTCGTGAGCGAGAAAGATGCTGAATCCTGAAAACGGAAGAAGACAGAATTCAAATGTTAGCACTGATCCTACATGAAGCAGTCTCTGTTTAGTCCTGATCCTCTATAGATCAGTAAACAAGAACCGCTGAAGGCAGCGAAGCCCAGAAGGACCAGAACCAGGACAGAGGACAGACACTCCCCGCTGCAGTGCAATGAGAGGGACGCACTCCGGTGTACCTGTGGGGACGTCCTCCAAGCGGCGGTACCAGGACACCGGCAGCCCGGCAGCGGTTTCCCCGCGGCGGTACACCGGCTTGTCCTCAGCGTCCGCCTCCCGGCTGTGGCTGCCGGTCAGTTTTTGGGCCTGCAGACGACTCAGCACCGGACTCACTTCGACCAGGTGGAGAGACAGAGAGGCTCCGCCCACCACTGACTGCAACTGACTGAACACCTGGAAGAAGAGCACAGGAAGTCACCACTTCATCGTACAGGTGAACACATGATGATAACTAGTTAATTCTCCGACCCCATTCCCCTGTAGTGCACCTGGTTAGCTTAGCTTAGCAAGACTCACGGCCCCTTTGTTAAGTTCACTAATCAACACGTTCAAAACTTTATTTGTATCAGTCAGCATCTGTGAAACAAATCCGACAAGTTGAAGCTTCGTACTCTGAGGACGTCGCTCGCCAGCGACCCTTTTCCGGGTCCGAGCTCGACCAGCTGGAGCCGCTCGGGTCGACCGGCTCCGATCCACTCGCTGACGATCCACACGCCGAGCAGCTGTCAATCAAACACACCTTTTAAATAAGTCAAAAAAAAAAGAGGAAACGGCCCATTTGTGTTTTACGTTTCCTAAAACCTGATTAACCAATTAAGAGTCTAAAGTTGAACATTTTTTTCTGGTCACAGTGCACTTTTCCCGCCTCACCTCTCCAAAGATCTGGCTGATTTCTGGCGACGTGATGAAATCTCCGTCGGGCCCCAGCATGTCGTTCCTCACATAGTAACCCTGAGAGGGAGAAACGGAACTATTTCAGGTTTCGGGAAACAACAGAAGCCTCTTTGGAACAAACGGGCGTCTTTATAAACCAAGCAGACTCCTTCAGAGGCCTCGTTAAAACCCTGAAACTCCTCTCAAAAAGACCAAATGTTTGATGGTAGTGAATCAGATCAGTGTGGGGGGTGGGGGGTGTACTAGTCCGGCGAACAGTTCGGCCGATGGGAGAGGGGGTAGTATATTGATGCATGTGTGGTCCGGAACTGCCGTGCGTTGGAGAAAAACATTTTTTTTATTCCAGACTTTTTGGAGTGGGGGCGAGACATTGCAGATGCCTTGTAGTGAGAATCAACACCCTGAATCTAAACTAATCCAGGAGCTGGAGGCCGCATGTCGTTGATGGTCGTGGCTTTCACTCACCGTCACCGGGTTGGTGAGCGCCTCTCTCATGTACTCCGCCACCGTGATCGGACCCGTGGCTTTTATTCTGGAGGTCAGGTGTCGCAGCATGGAGGGGCGGGGCTTCTCATCACCTGAAGTAGAACTGCACAAGAGTCTGGACTGAGCTGCACGCCATCGCCCTGTCACACAAAAACATTACAAATGTATAAACATATGTTTCACAAATAATAATAACAATTCTGGATTTAGGCCAACATCATTGACAAATGTGTTGTTAAGAAATTTGTCTTTTTCGGGGATTAAAAAAAAGAAAGAAAACAGCGGTCTTCCCAAAGTTTCTTGGTATGAGAATTAATCTATTTATGAATATCAATCATAGGATTGAGGCAGTTTGTGTTTTTAAAATGTTATGAATATTGTGAACATGTATAACTTCCAAGTTAGTTAAATTGTGTAAATTAATTTGAATGAATTAACAGATGTACAATTCTGATCAACAGATTTAAATCTAGTGAACAAACGTAATCTGTTTCTCAGCAGTAAGCGAAGAAATAAGGGATACAGTTAAGAGATGATAAAACGTGCAAAATATTGCACAGCCCGTAGGTTCCACAGTACGTGTCTACGTTGATCAAAATAAAATCAGTATTGATCACTGCACTGACCTGGATTGCTGAAGACTCTGCTGATCAGCTGCTGTGTTTTAACACCAAAACAAGGCCCCATTCTGCTGTTTGTACTGATATGAATTCAACTAAGACAATGTTTATATTGTATGTGATATACTATTGGTCTTGGTACCATTATTAAAGAAGAAACGGGTAAATAAACTTATTTTTACCCTCGTGGTGCAACTCTGCTCTTGACAAGATAGCAGCTAGTCGGTTAGCATTAGCTACAAGTAACTTAACCGTAGGTAGAATAGCTGCTAGCTGGTTAGCATTAGCTACCGTAGCTACAAGTCTCTTAACCTAACGTTAGGTCGAATGGCTGCTAGCTGGTTAGCATTAGCTATGTTAGCTACATCTACGCCAACCGTTAAAGATTAACGAAACCACAGCTGTAAAACAAAATTGTATCTTCGGTACAAATTGTACCAATATGCGTTTGGTATTTGCGTCTGCCTGTCGTTTACAGTTCCCTAAAGCAATACAATCCTTGTGAAATAGCGAGATGCTAATGCTAACAGAGTGAAGGAAGTTAAGTTATCCGCGATAACATCCGGGGAACCTTTCACAATAAAACACCATTCGTTTTCCACGATTTTAGTTACGATGTTAAAACAGCAATATACACTTAATACATTTAACAAAGTGTTGTAAATTTCTATTCTTGTTTTTCCGTTAATTTCAAATGTTTAATTTTGATGGCTGTTAACACTTTTCATTGAATTATGGAGTGATACAAAGAGATATCCAAATTCTCCCTCTGAAAACCTTTTGACTCCAATATGTCGACAAAATAAAACAACCATGAAATATTCACATTTATGTTGAAAGTAGTTTAGAGTAATTTAGGTTGAAAAATAAATCAACCCCCCTCCCTGCGCCCATTCTATTTGAAGATAGAATGACATGCAAGTTTTTTCTGAATGAACTGTTCCCACGTGGCTGTGGGCTTCAGAGGCAGCATCCTACAGCTGCCAGGTGGGGGCGCTAACGGACCACAAATGTGACAACTAGTTGTCACTCAGATTAGTATAGTGTAGTCAATAACACATGTACCAATATATATTTTGTGTGAATACATATATGTGTGTATTTTGTTGTCAACAATTCCACATATCTAATGTCATAAACCGTCAACAAACTAACAAAACATTAATACTTCACCAAAAGTCATCACATAACCTTCACGGATAATAATCAGAATCTCTAAAATGACGTCACTACCCAAACGTATTATACTCAGAGCTGTTTTCTAATACAGTATTTCAATCTTCAGCCAGACCAGCTCGGGTGGTGACGTTGTTAGTTGATAGTTGTTAATTTTAGATTGTCTAATTGTTTTAAAAGGATTTCAAGGTTTCGGCTTGCATCAAGCGCGCGACGCGATGGCATTACCCAGTGTGCATTGCGAGTTCCGTCCTGTTGCTACGGTAACGGAGTTTGTTTCAGCTGACTGAGGCTGCGGTTCATTTATAGTTGTTTTATAAAGCAGCTAACAGCTGGCATGACGTTTGTTTTTACTGTCGCTAACCGCGAGCAGCGGAAAGTTTGCAAATAAGAGCGACATTTTAGTTTATTAAAGGTGTGACTTGTGACAGGTGAGTAAAGTTTAGCTAACTCCGTCCGATTTTTACCAAGCTAGGCTGGCTAACGTTAACCCAACAATTGAGAGGCTTGTTGTGGGATAATGTTAAATAAGTATTATAAGTTAAGTTACATTTTACTGTGTATTATTTGGACAAATCAAACTATGGTTTAATAAATATGACATAGTTGCTCAGGGTTTTCTTCACAATCCACTGATCAATTGATTGATGGATAAATAATCTGAATGACCTACACAGTATTCCTACGCTGTGGTATTGGTGCTTCTGCTAAAGTCAAGGATCTGAATACGTCCAGAACTAATTCGCCGCTGTCGGCCCAGAAGGGCGATGAGGACCGTGATGTCAGCCAGCGGCCGGGAGGAAGCTGTGGTCGTCAGGAGGAGCGAATCGGCGGATGCTGAGGGGATCGACAGCCTCATCGGCCCCTCAGCTGTGGCGGTTTTCGGAAGAGTCAACGTAATCCATCTTCTGTAAGTCAAAACATCTAAACGCGAAAAACTAAAGAACACAAAAAACAACGAACCCGCCCCGGATGTTTTTTCCACCCTGTGAAATTGTGTGCGTTGTGCATAATCAGAGTGCCTAGAGTTCATTTTCTCTTTGTGTTTAATGTTGTAATGTCATCTGGACACGACCGTCTGCTTCTGTCCGGGACCCTCCAGAGAGAAAGCCAATCTGGCCGTGACTCTGGCCAACGAGAGGGAGGACATTCTGGCCCACGCTTCCTTCTTCGATCACCCCATCGGAGACTTGGTGGATCAGGCTCACTGGGAACCTTTCCTGCAGAAACACTTCAGCGCCGAAACATGCACAGTCTGTGTCATTCATTAATTCATTCATTCATTCAGACCATGCAGCATTGACATCATCATTGTTTTTATGATTAATACTGTTTATGTGTGATGTTAGTTTTTAACTTACGGTATCTTTGGCCTCAACAGAACCAGTCTGATATGCTCATAGGAAATTATCTGGAGTTTGAATGAGTTTCAATCTTCTTCCCTCTGCAGCCTTGGAACACACTCTTCCTCCACATCTTCTTGGCACAGCCAGATTTTGCCGCTGCATGTATAAAGGAAATAATGAGGTATGAAAGAGTATATTCCAATTTTTGAAAGAGGTGTTCTGAGGTACTTATGGTGTTTGTTTTCCAAATATAAATAGGTCATCTGAGGAATGAAATACAGCCATAAATGTCAATACATTTGACTTTTTTGCGGTGAAGCGCTCACTGACAGCTGGACTAAAGTAACTAACGTGACACTGTCACGTTTGCATATGTTTGAAATGGCAGCGGCTTTCAGGAACCACAGAATGCAGATTCATGCAGGTGCTTTGTTGCTGTGCTTCTTGGTACAGGGCCGTCTTTAACGCCGTCACAGAGCTTCAACACATCTGCCTGGTCAGCCCGAACCTCGGTAGTTTAGGTGAAGAGCTGCTTAACATTTATTCTCATGATGATCAATCATTCACACTTTAACTTTAAGTCTTGTGCCTGCCGCTGGACCAGAGCCGGCGCTAGAGGAGGTGTTTGAGCCGCTGCAGCGCCGGAAGGACCCCGGGCGTCTGTGCTTAGCCTTCATCTGCTGCAGAGAAGAGCACAGTCCACAGCTTCTCATCCGCACGGGCAGGTGATGTCCGCTGACATGCATGTCCACCACCAGACCCTTTTCCCCGTGCACTACCTGTATGTGGACATTTGCCCGTGGCATACCGTGAGCATAGAGTGTTTACAAGAAGTGGACGTAGTCGTGACGTCCCTCCTTGGTTTGTGGACTCGAGCTCTTTAGACTGAGGAGGTTTGAAATAGTACGTCTCTGGTAGAGACCTGTCAATCAGCGTCTAGCCCCGCCCTAAAGCATCCCCCGCTTTATGGTTTGTGAATGTATGTGTATGTTTGATGTGACAGGGAGTTTGGATTCAGTCCATTTACTGATCGGTGGTGGCCTCTTCTTTGTACTCATCACAGGGTTGAAGATTACGATGACATCATGTGCCTTAATGCAGAGAGGGAAAACCAACGGCCGTCCCTCCTGGCGGAGATCCTGGAGGCCCAGGACGAGAAGAATTCTACACTGGTTTGTGAGGTTGGTTCTGACTTTGACTTAGTCTTTCTGACGGAACTCTCCGATGTCGTGTGAGTCACGGTTTGATCCGTCACGTAAAAGCCGCTCGCTGATGAAGCTTTTTGGCTGAATGTCAGAACCCCCCTCCCCCTCCCTCTCTGGGGACCGGGGAGGGGACAGATTTTTTTTCCCCTCCCCGCCAGTCGGCGACATGTGTTCGTGGCAGCATATGGCAGATACGAGCTGATACCCGGCCAAGACATGCTTTCACTGAACATATTGTGTCCAGACATTTGAAGCATTTTGGTGCTTTTTGTGTGAATCTGTTCAGCTTTCCGGAGGGGGGCTGTGTCAATATGTTTTATCCAAAGCAATGGTCACATCCATGCCCCCCCCCCCTCCCCATATAAAAGCTTTGATTACATGTCATGATATTTATAAGCACATGGAGTTAAGCTAAAGAAGATCATTTAACCTGATTAAACATTGTTCCGTCAATTTCACTGTGAACGTGAACATTTCATAGTTTACTGTCAATATTGTGACTTGTGAACGTGTTTCTTGACTCCTCAGAGGTGTGAGGCCTTCTGTTGTTTATCAGTCCGCAGTCCGAGTGAAGGTGTGTGTGTGTGTGTGTGTGTGCGCGCTCTCCACAGAGCGGCGGACTCGTCGTCGGCCTCATGAGGATCTCCGCTCAGGTCGATATGACTCGTCTGAACGCAGACTTTGAGTGCGATGACTTCGGTGGTTTCTACAGACGTGAGGAAGTCGGCGCTCGGCGCGACGCCCGGCCGGTGCGTCTCCGTGGAGTCACTCAGCGTTTCTTCATGACATGATAGAACGTCAGTGACTTGTGGTAAAGACGAGATCTTCTCCTCCGTCCCTTCAGGAGGAAACACAGTCGGCTGGACGCTCCGCAAAGACTCTCAACGCCGTCTGCATTCAGGACTTCATTATTGACAAGAATTATGTCACCAGGTGAAGTCAGAGTGATGTATTGATTTATTCGGTCTTTTCTCAAGGAAAGGATGAAGGTGTGTGTTTTTAGATTTCTCAACAAGTCTGAGAGGAACTACCAGGTTGTTGTTTTTGGTCTTAGAATTTAATAACAATAATTTAATTTGCTAGCGAAAATACTTCCGTCACTGCAGTAATGTAAATATATATCTATGTATACTGTATACATATGAAGGCAAACAATTTAAACTAAAATCCACTTGGAACCAAGTCTTCTTAACGTGGGAGATGGCGTGAATCCTGAGGACGGTACGCAGTGAAAGTACTTTCACATTAAAAAAGGTGAAGGTATAAAAATGCTTTTACAGAATGCCATTCATTTGATTTGCAGAAATACTACACACACATAGATGCATATCTACATGTGGTGAAGAAGGGGGGCTGCTGGTGGCATCGGTCCAGGCGTCCATCAGTCATGTGCTGCATTAGAGTGGGGGGCGGAGGGGGGGGGGGGGGGTACTGGTTGGCTCCCGCTGAGCTCCTCTCACCTCCCAGCTGTTACTAAATATGGAGGCGAGTTGCTTCCTGCCGAGAGTGAGCACATTATTAATGAGAGTCGCGCTTAAAGTGACAGCGTGTCAGAGCCGAAGGCTGAGGGGTGTGAGGGGCGTGAGGGGGGGGGTCGACCGGTGGGCCTGGCCTTGATTCTGAAGTCTGGCGTCACTTAACACTCTTTCTCTAAGCAAGATCAGCGGACTTCATTTCATATATATTCAACCTTTACCCAGTGAGTATCGTCTTTGTGTTTAATGAGCTCCACAAACAGACAACAGTAAATCATTGTAAGTGTAAACAAGGTCTAAAGGTTTTCATGTTCATGAAGTTTAAGATCCTTCATGCGTGTCTGCTTGCGTTGTCCCGCTGTCCGATCCTCAGGACCTGGACTTCTGCATCGTCTCCGTACCGATGGCGTGCCCCAAACTCCCGCTGCTGCTGCAGAGCTTCCTCAGACGGACATCTCGCGCCTCCAGCTGGCCCCCCCAGGAACTCTACGTCCTCCCCCGCGCCGGGCACAGGTGGGTTCACCGCACAAGACGAAGTCTACAACTCCGAGTGTAGTTCCTGTAGTGGGATTAAAGTCAAACACAGATGGAGATTTTATGGCCGTGGTGGAGATCACGCATTAGATTTGGACCAGATACCCAACGCAGTAGAAACATCTGAGGCTGACGATGCACTCGGTTGGGGGTCCCGGTTGGGGCCCCCGCTGTGGTTGCTCTTGCAGCGGCGTGGAGGTGAGACCGGCCGTGGCTGCAGACCGACCGGCTCTGTGTGATCTGGTGAAGGATCTGAGGCTCAGCGAGGCCCTGCTGCAGGACCTGGACCGCTTCTACGAGAGCCGCAGAGACCCGGTGAGGTTCATCTTCAGCCCCCCAACTGTTGAGATCAACCATCAAACACTATTAATTAATGAATACCAAACATAGAAACATTATTACATATCATTTCCTAAAACTATTTTTGTTCCCTCTACTTTTACACATTCAGTTTGATCCACTTGAAAATGTCCAGCTACTAAAGAGCTAAGCTAAGCTAAGCTAAGTATTCCAAAGAATCAGACCCACTCAGGCCTTTAACTATTGGTTGGCATTAATAAAACAACCAAATCTGTATCTATTTATTCGCTTTTTTATAATGTTTGTATAATGTTATATTACTTCACACAACAAATATGCAAATCAAATGTTCTTATCAATATTAAACCAGCTGTCCTGTTAAACCTGTTTGGAAACCCAAAACATGTAAAAGGCGACAACATCAGGGTTGAAATTCTAACCTTTAACTTTTTCAAATGACCTCATTTTTTTTCCGGACCTCGAGCGTGATCGTCTCAGAATAAGCCAACAGCCATTCTCCTCTCCGTGTGACACCCCAGCTGTCACCGCCGCTGCCCCACCCCCCCATAATGACATCATGAGTATTCATGACAAAGTGCATGCTGGGCTTTGTCGTCACACAGGGCGGCGCGGCGCTGCAGGCCTTCGTGGCCCAACACGGCGGTCAGCTGGTGGGGACACTGATCCTCAGAGACGAACAGGTAGGTGCACCATGCAGGTCGTTGTCCCCAGAGGAACCTCTGTAGACTTTCAGACCTTGACTAGAATAGAAAATACAAAATAAAGGTATTTTTTATTCAACAAGGGTTGAAAAACAGAAAAGTCTGCTGTCGATTCCTCGTACTTTTCTATAACTGCTTCAATCACAGCTAAATATTTGGTGTGATACAATCGAGATATTCTGATATAATTATAATCCGTTTCTGATCATTACGTCTGTATTGAACTAAAGCAAAGTATCAAATACAAATGTTGGTCCTCTTGTCATTGTCAGGATGCCGAGTACATCTGCGCCCACTACAACATCGAAAACTTCATCTACTTCAGCCATCACCGTCGCGAGGAGCTCGCTCAGATACGCCACTTGGTCCTCAAGAGCTCCTTCCAGCACTTGGGAAGACACTTGTTCAAGGAGGTGCTCCGGCTGGCTGGCAGGTCCTGCCTGTTCCACAGAATGTACCCCTCCATCCAGGGCCAGGAGGTGGGTTTCTCACACCGCGCCCTCGGCCCCTCCAGCCTCTGGAGCTTGACACACTTTGTGATCTGTTGGTGTGACGTTCGTTTATTGATGTAACATGGAACATGTGGAACAAGGAGGGTCACTGCTTGCATACTGCGGCCCCTCGGCATGCTGCCGTCCCCCCGGGTCGGGGGGCAGCAGGTGCCGACGGCGCCGCCAGCTCCACCGCTCCACACACATTACAAGACAGAAGCCCCCACTTCCTTCTGCTAATTAGCTTCCCACTAACCAGCCCAGGTCTGCACATGATGGCGTGCGGACTGACGCGCGTCCGAGACACTTGGAGGACTGGAGGTTGTTTTCTGCTCAGCTCATGTTGGTGGTGTGAAGCTTGCGTCATGTAGCCTCTTCACCTGAGCTCATTATCACCTTGGCCTCTTCCAGTCCCCCCCCTCCACACTGACGCCGTCGAGGGAGCCTAACCGCGCCCCCTTTTCTCCCCAGCGCACTCAGAATTCCTGCATCCACCACCTGGATGTGGTGCTGGACTACGCGGTCCCCGTCCGCCCGCGACGCCAGATCCTCTACCCGCTGGAGGAGCTCGGCATCAACGCCCCCTCCAGGCGGATCACCGAGCACCAGGTGGGCACGGCAGCAGCTGGGCCCCAGGGGGCCGCCGGGCAGGGAGCGTGGAGGGGCCTGAGGCCGCAGGGTGCCAGTGTGGCCACTAGAGGGGGTTTTAACGCAGTGATCCACTCTTAGAAACTGCAGCTTCCTTCAAAACTGCCTCTTCTCCACATTAACAGAGACAATAGACATCCAGACATCCAAACCAACAGATATTATGTTTGCTACTTTTGATTTGACTACTATTTCTTTACAGTTTCTACACATTTTTTGTTCTTCACATATATTTGATATCTGTGAAGACTTTTCTCAGCTAAAATTTGACTTTGAGTTGAGTTGGTCGGAACAAAGCGATTAGCTTTAAGTGGGAAAAGAAGAAACCTTCCGCTAAAAACAGCAGAGAAAACACTTAATTCTTAAAAATATAATCTTCTGAGTTCTACAGATGAGATGAATAAGATGAAACTCACGGCGGTAACACAGCTGTCATGATCTCCGTTCAGATAAGGACTCCGGGCCGCGGGGACGATTGATGGGATCTAAAGCACCTGTTCCCTCTCCGTCCACACGGGATCACGTTACGCAGCGCTGCACCTGCTCCCCACATGCAGATCTGTTCATCTGGTTATCGCCTGCGCTATTCAGATGAATGCATGTAGGCAAATGGCAAATACAGAGTTTTGTTTACATATAAATGAATATGAATTCTCAATAAATGTCCAAATGCAGCGTGTGCATGACCCACGGCTGCAGGAGGGTTATTTTGTTTCAATGGACGTAGGTAGCAGATGATGATCATCATATCATCATATCTTCAGTCCAGCTGCTCCTAAACTGAGCTGCTGCACGTTTACCTTGTCCCTTCATCTCGTCAAAAGAAGAGCAGCTTAGTAGGTTCTGTGAGTGGATGTTTCCTACAGACCTGGAAGACAGTTGAACCAAATTCCAAATCATGGAAAAAACAAATGCAGATTTCCACGTCGTCCTTCAGCCACTAGTTGCTCTCTCACAGCTCGTCAGCGTTGCCTTCAGGGTCCCTAATGGCCAAAAGGAAGCCGCAGTATTTAGGTTTAGTGAGCAGACGTCACATGACTTGAACTATTTAACTATTTACTACTATCAACTATTTAAAATGTTACTCATCAATCTGAGCCGTTCACATGTACATTTGTTAATTAAAATAAATACAGGCCCTTTTTTTCTCCTGCTAATCAAACTTGGCGACATCTCGCTGTGCGACAGATGTCTAAATGATTGGAATATGACACAAAGGTTAATTTCACCCCCCCTCCCTTTTCCTCGATGCTGTTTTCATCCAACAAGGTGCTTTGTGGGGCCAATCTGCCCAATCACAGACGATGAAGGAGCCATTAGCGTGAGGACCACTCAGTGGTGGAGGAATGCAGCAATTAGAAGGCGGAGCCGGATCCTGTGGGAGTCTTTTGAGGAGCGTCGGGTCACAAGTTCCATCCCTGAGTTTCCTTCTGAAGCTGCATGTTCTAAACATCTAAATAAAGAGCAGAAATGGGATTGAAACACAAACAAGAGAGTCATTTTAGACACAAAACACAACTGGAGATGAAAACCTTTTTGGGTCCTGATCTACTGCCCTTCATTTGAGACATGTAAAGCTGTCGGGTCATCAATGTGTGTGTGTGTGTGTTTCATCGTACATCTGACGGGCTCCTCTCTGCAATGCTCTCAGGCTCCGTTTGCTCTCAGCCTCATCAGCAGGAAGTTGACCTTGGAGCCCAAGGTCACCGTCAACGCCAGGATCGTGGTGGTCGGGGCCTCGAACACGGGCCTGTCGTTCCTCGAGGTACTTTGTCTCTGGTGAGTCTGCTTTATATCTGCATATAGCTACAGGTACACACACAGGATTATTGTTACTGTACACATAAAAACTGTGACCTTTAGTAGCAGCACTGACAAATAAATGGACAATTCTTGCTCCCCAACCACAGCGGATGAACCTTCCAGCGGCCTGAGGGCTCCTCAGAATCCAATCTGTGCAAATGTCACTTGACGTCTTTTGCCTTTTTGTCCTCCTCGCTCTGTGAGATCAACTTGCTTCAGCAGATAATAAGAAGAGCGGGGGCGCAGATTCAGATTCAGACCCGGTTGATAGCTGCCAGGCAACCGGGGGGGGGCCCTCAACGCCGTGGCGCTCTCACACAGCTGTGGTAGAGGCCTGGCATGGAGCAGAGGCCAACACCCTCCTCCCCCCCACCCCCCCTTTAATTAGCCGCTTTCGGCTGCAGAGATCCGTGTTTTCTGTCGCTAATGAGACAACTAATGAGGCGGTTAGTGTCCGCTGGACTGACGGGGTGAGGGGGGGGGCGCATTGAGAGGGTGAATGATGGGTCGGTGTCGGGGCCTGCTGGGGCCCTTCTTCTTATCAGCACTGCCCAAACGTTCCCCCCCCAGACACAGCTTTCCATGTGAATGCAGCCCAGCGGCTTCATGCAGGCTGGACGGGGTCAGACAGATAAAGAGCTCTGCAGTGGACGGAGCCCCCGCCCGTAGGGGACGGAGCCCCCACCCTGCAGCCCAGCCGTGGTCGGGCTGCAGATGGGCGGCCGTCCGTCTGTCAGCGGCTGATAACAGAGCAAATCCAGAGCTTCTACCCCCCCCTCCTCGTCCAGATCACCAATAACGGCCTTAATGCCTCAGTGCTGCAGAGTGACGAGGACAGTTGGACACACTGTCCTCGTCACTCCGTCTGTTAACTCTGCTGCTTGAGTTTATGTTTCTGTAAACGGACTCAATCTTCTATTTTTAATCCATTTGCTTCTCTGGCGTTGTTGTGAGCGAGTAGTTTAAAGAAGCCGGTTTAGGCTTTATAATAATAAACATAATAATAATAAACGCTGTAAATAACTAACGTTTATTGTTTCGATTATTGCAAAATGACAATGAACATGTGGATAAAGTTTTTGACTTTGACTTGTCTTTCTAGTCAGTGTGCTGTGACGTCACAGTCACGCTGAAGATAACACACAGCAGCGGCTGTGTCTATTTGTCTTTGTTGTGACTTTGTTTAGTTTAGTCATCGTCACTGCTGCGCTCAAGTTGTGGTTGCTTAGTAACGGCAAAGCGTCTCTGCCGACGTGTGGACGCATCCCAACGCGTCCACCGATGTGATGTGTCCTCTGGACCTCTGCACAGGGTGCTGTCCTCCAGCCCCTCTTTTCCGCCACATCTCTCTGCGCATGCATCACCTCTCTGTGACTTCATGCCGTTACGCACCAACCAAGATGCTCCAGCTCTCTTCTTCTCCCGTAGTCCTCACCTGAGGTTCTACAGCCTCACCCTCGTCTCAACGCACGGTTTCCCCGGCGACCACGAACACGACGACGTGGGATTTCTGTCCACAAGGTGAGCGACAGTAATAATACACTCACTGAGGTTGAGTAGCTGAGAGCATTCAGCAAACATGAAAGCCTCGTTTCAAACGAACACATGAACGAGTTGAGATGTTCAGTGTGGAGGAATGAGGCTCTTCACATACTCAGAGTTTTACTCCAGTAGACGGAGCAAAGAAATGTTCTGGTTCATATGGGTTTAGTGACTGACATATTTAGAATATCTTCACCTCTTTATCTTGATGCCAGACAGGATAGGAAGCTGTCGTCTACAAAGACACCAGGCTCCATTCAGAAAAGCAGTGATGTACCCTGTCATGACAGGGTACTGCTCCCGCTTCTGTTAGTCGGTTTGTGTTCTTGTGAGTTCTTGTGGTGATTAAAAGGGTTTGTGTTACTTCAAGAAGTCACACAATAACACAAGCTAATAAAGTGTTTGGAGCAGAAAGGTCTGGTGGCTTTGATTTCAGCTCCTCTCCCGGGTGAATCTAAGAAGTGCCTCATAAGCCGCCACTTCAATGCCTCTCTTCCTGCAGTCATGCATACAGCAGAAGAGACTTGGCCCAGCTCCCCCTGCAGTCCTGCGTTGCCACGGTGACCGGGAAGATGGTGGGCATCAACAGGAAGTCCAAACTCGTCCTGGTGTCCGGCGGCGTGAAGCTGCCCTACGACCACCTCGTCCTGTGCACGGGCCTCCAGTACCAGGCGAGAACATCTCTTCACCTCTGGTCATGTGATCCGCTCAGTCCCGCCCCCTCTCGGCACCAGCTGGGCTCAGACTCACCGGCCGGCGGCCGGCCTGTATTTTGTATTCTGTATGATTTCCTTTTCTCACAAACCAAAGTAGCTGCTCCTCGGTGCTGCAGGTCCCCGGCCCCCCCGGTGTGGACCTGCAGCCAAACGGCTCCAGATACACCGGGCCCGTCCCCGCCAACCTGCTCACCCTCAACGACCTGCAGGACTGCGCGGCTGCTCGCCGCTGGCTGCTGTCCAACTTCGTGGAGCTGGAGGGTGAGTGGAACGCACGCATGCACACACACACACGCACACACACACACACACACAGGACCTAAAATGAATCTGTGGTAGCGTGTCATTACTCAGCCAGTCAGCGCTGAAGTGCCTCGGTGTAATTAGCGGCTAATTAGCTGCAGAGAAATCTTTCATCTTTGCGATCAGGTCGGCGTCCTCCATCCATTCTCCATTATTGTATCACTTCAGTCATTAAGCAAAATGAATCCGCTCTCTGAAGGAATTGTGTAGTGATGTAGAGTGAGGGCTTTTATTCGTGCTAATTAGCTGATCCCCGTCATAGAGGAAAACCATTAATACATGCACATTTCCAAGGCAGACTCCCAGCAGATAGATGCCGTGATTATTTCCATATTTTTACAATAGCGGAGAGCGAATATAAATAAAAGCGTTCAGACTAAAGCAGACTGTCTCAGCTCGAGCTTAAAGCATTCAAAGCTCACTAAAACATAATGTCCAGCGTTGTTTTTGTCCGTCTCTGGATCTGCTCTCAGCTCACACCTTGTGCTTTAAAGTGATGCAAAGAGAACAGATGGAAATACAAATTAGAATGGATCTAGGTCAACATCTCAGACAACAGGTACCGGAGCCTTTAATGTGGTTAGAAATATGACCCGTTTATTCCTCCAGGCCCCGATAAAAGATGAAGGTTGTTTTATTTCCACAAAAAAGGCAGCGGATTCTGAAAAGAAGTCTCGCATGTCGCCTGGTTTTCCTCTTTCTGTTGTTTCCTCGGCTGCTTCTAGCGTGTGGAATCGGTTCTTTGACGAGAGGCTTTGTGGTCTCGATGGTTCAGCACCACGGACAGAGCACACGTCACTGAAGTAATGAAGTACACGTGAAAGTAGCTGCGATCATCAGATGTGTTGATGCTTACTAAAATATTTTATCCACATATTCATTGTAGTTCCACAATAATAATAATAATATTATATAATAATAATCATCTAGACAATAAACAACATCAGTTTATTATTTCTTATTGCAAACAGCTTTGATCATTATGAACCTATTTCCCGCGCCTCTAGATAACGCCGTCGTCTACGGGGACGGCATCGACGTCTTCACCGCCACGGAGACCTTGCTCCGCCTCGGCGTCCGGGGGAGTCGCATCCACCTGGTCCTCCCGCCTCCCGGGGGCGGCGACCCCCGCCTGGGCGACCCCGTGGTGGAGGGCGCCGTGGCCACGGCCCTGAAGGAGGCCGAGGTCCAGGTCCACCGCCACTGCCTGCTGACCCGGATGGACGTCGGCGGAGATGATGGTCCGCTCACGTCTGTGTCCTTCGCCTCGGAGGAGGAGCCCCTACGTCTGCAGTGCGGCGTGAGTCCCACGCCGTCGGTTATTAGTTTTATCAAATGTGGGAAACAACTGAACTGTTGAAAAACTCACTTTACACTTTTAATCATTTACAACTGTTTGGTCCGGCTGCAGTCGTCCAATCATACAACATCAGCATCCAGTGGACAAACCAATCTGGATATTTTAATAATGGATCAATACAGTGTGATTAAGTCAATCCTATTGGACTGATTCCTTCACTTCTTCCTTGCAGGTGTTCATCAACCTTTCCAACAAAGGAGTCGACTACGACGCTTTCCGCAGCATCAACAACTCCTTCCTGCCCTTCGACGGCAGGCTCGTCATCGACGCCACCTTCCGTACCTGCGACTCACACGTCTACGGCGCCGGGCCGCTCACCAAGTTTTCCCGCCGCTACTACGCGGACGAGTGGTCGCACGGCAACTTCAACTCCAAGGAGGTGGGCCAGGACCTGGCGGCCATGTTGCTGCCCCTCTTCGACCCGACGCTGCAGCCTGAGGCGCCGCCTGAGAGGGACCGCCTGGTGCCGCTGTACACACAGGCCAAGATCCGAGGTCAGAGGTCACACAGGTCCAACAGGTTGATGATCATTCTGATACATTTCGTAGGTTCATCATGACCACAAAATTCCTTCAGGCCCCCCCCCCCACTTTGTTTACCTCCACGCTCGTCCTTCCTCTTTCTGTCTTCAACCCGCCCGCCCACCTCTCTGATGTCATTGTGGGGATGGGGGGGGGGGGGGGTGGGCATTGTGCCGCCCACGTACCCACGAACCCCCAAGGCCACTCGGCTCCGGCCTTCGCTCCGAATACAAAACATACGTGAACCTTTTCAGAGAGATCTCCGTGTTCGGGGGAGAGGGGGGGGGGGGGGGGGGGTGAATGCGAGTTCATCGGCTGGAATGAACCCTATTCAAAGGTTTTCTTCTGATAAGAGCATCTCCTCATCGACACGTGATGCTCTTTCAAGTACTTGACGGATCCCAACATGTGACTAACCTGCAGCGATGCTCAGTGTCTGTCACTCCTCCTCCTTATTGACCACGTCACATGACAGCGTTATCAATGTGACCACATGGTGTCCTTCATCCCTCAGGTGAGAGGCTTCCCGGAGGATTGAACTACCTGCATGTGACCAAACCGTCCGCTACCTACGCCACGAGTCCTCCTGTGACACATGTGAGGCAGCGAGGATGTCCACACACAGCTGCTGCTTATTCCCACAACATCTGCAGCGACGTGTCAATGCAGCCCCCGCCCTCTCTAACTGTCGCCCCCGCTCAAGTTGCAGGACAGGGGCATCGTGACGGGACGAGCGGAGACGGGGAACTACTTCTCCTTGCGCCTGGACCGCTACGACATGGTGGACGAGCTCACCTGCTTGTCCCTGAAGCCCCTCCCCTTCTCCAATTACCTTTGTCTGTTCGGGAAACACCAGCAGCTGCTGGGCCAGCTGTCCAGCCGCTACCGCCAGGGCCTGATCCACGACCTGTACAGGTGGGGGAGAGCTCACTGACGCCCCCTCCCCCCCAGGGGGACGGTGTCCACGTCCACTCCTCTGTACTCCTGCAGCCTCAAGTGTCCACTTTGAAACCTCAGCATGCAGATACACACTTATTCTAGGTGATGGTAATCTGTACTCAGATTTTGTTGTATTATTCCATCTACAGTCAGACAGTTTCACTAAAAATAAAGACTCCCTCATCGTTACAGAAGAGGGAAACGTTGCTCCTAATGGATCATAAATAGGCCACAAGAAGGAAACTGTTTTTTAATGCTGATGAAGCAGCGAGGTCGTCTTATCAGAATGACAGAGGAAGGAATGTGTTCAAGTCTTCACCTTCAAACTTCAAAAGGAAAACAAAGTATAAGTAAATATAATATTTATATTCATATTTATATTTCCAGCTGTTTTAGTCCCATGTTGTATGATTCATTTTGTTACGCTGTTATTCCGTCGTGGAGGTTTGATAAGACGGGGGGGGGGGCCTCAGCTTTTCATCGTAGTGAAACTTCCCATCATGCATCAGCTGACTAATGACCGCCACGCGCTCAAAGTCACACAAACGCCATCTTCAGAGATTTAGGCCTTCAGAGTGTTTTGTCCGCACGCCAAGTGTCTGCTGGTGTGACTTTGCTGTGTGTGTGTGTGTGTGTGTGTGTGTGTTAGTCAAACAGTGGGTGACCTGCTTCTGAGGGTCCAACACCGACCCACAGATATGGACGTCTATTGTCCCCTGCCTCCTAATCTGTTTATGCAGCTCCCCAATCTGTCTTTGTGGTGGGAGACAAAGCAGCCCCCCCCCCTCCCTCACCCCCTCCCTCGCTCGCTGCATAGGGCGATTTGTCGTCACGCCGCTGCCTCACTCAGCTGACTCGTAAAGTCATTGTGGAGCCTGACGGAGCACCGGGAGCCGTTAAAATCATTGATTGACCGGGTGGCTGCTGGGGGTCACTCAGCCGTGTGTGTGTGTGTGCGTGCGTGCGTGCGTGCGTGCGTGCGTGCGTGCGTGCGTGCGTGCGTGCGTGCGTGCGTGCGTGCGTGCGTGCGTGCGTGCGTGTGATCTCCTCTCTGAGGTCCTTAAAGCTCTCTGGTGTCTCTGTGCTGTCGAGCCGTTCTGCAGATACAAAGTACTTCTAGTAAAAGTACCAATAGCACAATGTAAAAATACTTCTTTATATTCTGAAGTTCTGCTTCAGTACTTGAAATAGAAGACAACTGCCTTGTTATTCTAGTTGTGGAAATACTTTGAAGTACTCACTAGATATGTTATACTTACGGATAGTTAAGTCGAGTGGATCACAACATAGGGGTTGGGCCCCTCCAGAGGGTCGCCCATGAAAGTCAGGGGTTGTAAGATGGTGAATGAAGAGTTTTCATTTGTTTCAATTCTTTGGTCTTTTCTCTTATGTTGATGTGTGTGTGTCTGTGTCTGTGTGTGTGTTTCTCCCACAGTTTCTTCAGACAGAGCTGGTGTTTGGCCATTTATCACGACAGGTTCTCTGACTTTGAGCAGGAGCTTCAGCAGATGACCTCCAACGCAGTCAGTGCCTTGTTATTATCATTGCTATGATCCCATGTGGAGTTTTTCCTGTAAACACGTAACATGCAATGCAGCGACAAACGGGCCAAACACAACAAGAAGCAGGTGAGCAGGTGGAATCAGGTGAGTGAGCCATGGACCAATCAGAGCGTTGTGATCTCCCTGCAGGAGGACGGGCGGCCCAGAGACGCCGCCGCTCTGCGGAGCAGCGCCGCCCGATACCTGAGCTACAACCGCAACCTGCTGCCCATGTTCGCCCGCCCGGGCCAGCTGTGATCACATTGACGAGGCTCTTTCACCCTGTTCAACGTATTCAGAAAGCTTCTTCTTTCCTTCTCCCTTTCTCGCCAGAACAAGCTGAGATGGAATAAATATCCCTCATAAAACTTGATATATTTAAAGCGGTTATTTAAGCGTTATTTGCGACCTATACTTTGATGAGGAAGAAGAATGTGTGGAACGATGATCATTTTTCTCATTACGAGTTTGATGTTTTTAAAACACAACCTTCCTCCATTAAAGCCGGATGGCTTTCTGTTTTCCTCTGAGCAGCTATTAACAGTCCAGACATGATGCATTCTGGGTAAGTGAACTCCTCACAGTAAACGCTTTAAAGCAAACGAAACCATCGTGTTTCTTCATGTTTTGATTCATCTCGCCCATGATGGGCCAACTGTAACTGTGAGACTCTGCGGCAGTGGACCAATCGCACGCTGGAGATAAAAGCACTGAGGAGGGGGAGGAGGGGGAGAGAAGAGAGGAGGGAGGGGGGGGGGTCCCTCTTCAGCTGTATGCTAATGAGGCCGAGCTGAAGCCCATCGGGAAAATAACCGCACACACAACAACACATGTCTGAAGCTCCAAACAACCCGCCGGCTGCTGGTGTCACATACTTAAGGATTCAGATATGTTTAAAATGTTACATCATGGAAATATCCAGATGACCGTGAATGCATCATGTCATCATAAAATAAAGTGCAATCAAAGACATTCAAACATACTGAACTGTAGTAACTTGGCTTCACTTAATAATATTTTAATTATTCAATAGTGTTGATGTATTTTATTTTTAATATACATAAATAGGTGTTTTTATTGATATTATAGTGGTTGTATAATATTGTCATTAATACTTTTTAGTTTTTAGTCACATTATGTTACGATTTGTTTTAAAAACAGTCATCGTACATTTGGAATTATTATACATTACTATCAAAAGCTTAATGTAAAAAAATGTATTATCTATTTTTGACTTTATAAATAGTGGCAAAAACGTCGAGATTATTTTAAAACCTGTTTTCAGTCAAAATGAAATATCTATTTGATTGATAAAAAAAACGGCTGAAATGATGCCACCACCTTTAATGACTCTTAATGGAAGAATTGTATAATTGCATCTGTAGAAGAAAGTTTATAATTCACTTGAGATTCAAATCGATATAAAAACACACCCGTGAAAAAAGGAAAATAAGTTTTAACGAGCTAACAAATCAATCAAAACAGATCCTGAACTCAACTGACACAAATCTCCTCTGCGTTTTGTCCCATCATGCCCCGCGGCCCGGCCGACCGGGTCACTTCTGACCGGCATTCGGATGCTGTGTTTTAGGAGTCGCTGGTAATCTCAGTTTGCCCCATTTGGTGACACAGAAAAGCGCGCACTGATTACGCACAGCACGCGCCGGCGGTATCTGGGGGCCAGATTGCTTTTTGGGGGCCCCCACCCAACTTCTTCTCCTTTTTGTTTTTTTCAACTGTGCAATTTCCTTTTCAATCACGGCGGGTCTCCAGCTTGCACAAGCGCCGCCATTGTGATGCAAAGCAGGAGAACCCTCCTCGGTATTAATTATGTATGCGCCAAGTGACGGATTCATATGTCACACGCGCACACTCTCACACGCACGCTGCTGCCGGGTTGGGTCGGTAATGTGACCGAATTCAGAGCCACCGTTTGGTGCGTAAAAGGCGCGTTTTAGTCTCTTTGGATCGTTGTGCCTCCAGAAAAGTCGTTGAATGCCTTGAATTGTTCAATATGGACCGGAGGTCGGAATGTCTCCAGCTTCTAATTCCACGTGTTACACCTTTTTCCTTGTTATTACAATCTGTCTTTCGTGACATCGTTATGTGCACGGATGTCCCCCCCCCCCCCCCCCCCCCCCAACTAAAGGACACACATAAAGCCGAGGCACGTGTAGATTTCTATACAAAGTCATCAGACCGTAAAAGCAGGAGGCTCCTGGCGTGTGCCCGGGGTCGAGACGACGAGGGGGAGGAGGAGGAGGAGAGAGTGCAGGGAGGGGTTTGGTGGGGTGGGGGTAGAATACAATAAAACCCCTCAGGTACATCTGCTTTGCAATCTGCAACCCCCCCCCCCCCCCCCCCCCCCCCCCCGCACACACACACACACACACACACACACACACACACACACACACACACACACACACCCCTCTCCTCCTCCTCCATCAGCCTCTCCATCCTCCCACTCCCCAAATCCACCGGGGACCTTGGATCCTCTGATTGGTTGGGGATGAGTCAACGAGTTGGATGGGTGGGGGTCGGGGGGGGGGGGACGGGAACAATGTCATCATGTCGCCTTAAAAAGAGTGCAGCTATGTTGTGGTTGAAAGCACCTCGGGAGGAGAACAGAGGATCAATAGCGGCAGGAAGCGACAACAAAAAGGCGCATCAGATGTTTGCGTGGAAGTGAAAGTGCCTTCAGGGTTTAACGCGAACATGCCGAGGGGATTTTTGGTGAAAAGGAACAAGAGGACCAACCCGGTCTCTTACCGGGTCCGCCCCGACCAGGAGGACGCGGAGCAAACGGCACCCTGTGCGCCGCCGCGACCGCTTTACTGCGCGGCTCTTACCGCCTCCTTGCCGGTGCGCGCACGGACGCCAACGCCCACCTGCGGGGCGGCGGCTCCGGAGCAGGTCGGCAGACCGGTGCAGTTCGGGAACCCGGAGCTGGTGTGCCAGGCGCTGTACAGCCCCACCCGCCCCGTCAGCCGGGACAACGAGCGCTTCAACCTCGGGTCGCCGGTTTCCGCGGAGTCCTTTCCCACACCGGCAGCGCTGCCCGCCCTGGACCACCTCTACGCCCCGGTGGACCTGAAAATCGGCTCCAGCAACAGCAGCCGCACCGGGACCAGTGCCACGTCCACCGCGACGCTCCCCACCGCAGCCACCAAGCGGCCCGCCGGCGACGCCGAGCGCAAAAGCAAACCGCCGTCCAAGAAAACCAAAGCCATCCGAAGGCTGCACTTTGAGGATGATGTCACCACGTCTCCGGTTCTCGGGCTCAAGATCAAAGAGGCGCCGGTGGACCAGAAGCCCCCGAGGCCGCAGCTGCCCGGAGGGGACAACGTCCCGCTGGGCGAGTTCGTGTGCCAGCTGTGCCGCGAGGCGTACGCGGACCCGTTCGCTCTGGCGCAGCACAAGTGCTCCAGGATAGTCCGGGTCGAGTACCGGTGTCCCGAGTGCGACAAGGTGTTCAGCTGCCCGGCTAACCTCGCCTCGCACCGGCGGTGGCACAAGCCGAAGCCGCAGAGCGCAGCGCCGGGGGGGCCACATCCCGAGAGCGACCGGGCTTCCGCGTCCGGTAAGACCGCACCGGAGGAAGCCAAGGACTCCAGTGACAGGGACACCCCCAGCCCGGGCCCGTCCGAGTCCGGCTCGGAGGAAGGGCTGTACGATTGTAACCACTGCGGGAAGAAGTTCAAACGGCCGGCGTACCTGCGGAAGCACCTGGCGTCCCAGCACGGCTCCCCGAAACCGGCGGAGGACGAGGACGCGCCGGAGCGCAGCGCGGCGCCGCTGAACCTGAGCGGCGCCGCGTGCCACCTGTGTCCGGTGTGCGGGGAGAGCTTCTCCAACCGGGGCGGCCTGGAGCGGCACATCCCGGCTGCTGCACTCCTCGCAGGTGTATCCGTGCAAGTACTGCCCCGCCGTGTTCTACAGCTCCCCGGGACTCACCAGGCACATCAACAAGTGCCACCCGTCCGAGAACCGGCAGGTGATCCTGCTGCAGGTGCCGCTGCGCCCCGCCTGCTGATCCGGGACCTCAGGGGGGACAAAGTCACAGATCAGCCTCGATTAGGACCGTTACACTGCAGAAACAACACCCATGTTTTTATTTGATCTGACTAATCAAATCAAGCAGCTCGAGCTCTGCGGGACTCTGTGGATCGGAGGATTTATTTTCTCTTGCTTCAGTTATTTGGAGAAAGAAAATCAGCACATTTGAAATGAATCCTTTTAAAATCTAAACTCTAAATTTCTTAAACACTTTTTGAACAATTCATCTCTTTTGGTTTAAAAGTCTAAATCATGGAGGTAAAAGAAGAAGTTAAAGTGTGTTTGTATTTTCTTGCAGTGTAACAGTGTCATCTCGCAGAGTTCAGAGGTCAGCCGCTCACCTGCAGCTGGCAGGGATTCAGTGCCTTGCTCGAGGACACTTCAGCAGGTCCTGGGTGTGTTTGAACCCTGGCCTATAAACCCCCACCCACACACACACACAAACATACACACACACACACACACACACTCACACCTCCCTTCAAGCACCTCTGACGTCACTCTCCAGACACTTAGACCGTTAATTTATTTTTCTAGCATCTCTGCACAAGTGCTTCTAGCTTCTAGACCTAAGAGGGAGGTATGGGGGGGGGGTCTGGTGTCTTCACTCTGATTAGCTTTATCGTCGAGGGTCCGTGGATCAGTAGATGTTTGCCTGAAAGACAGAAAGAGAAACTAGCGTAGCCGCTCGAGGCCTTTGGATCGGAGCCTCGTGCTGTAAATCTGCCTTAAACTCCTCTGATTGTTGATCGCTTGTTAATCTCCACACCATCGTTATGTTCCTGTGCCCCCCCCCCCCCCTTATTTATTTATGTATTTATTAAATTATTTGTGTAAGTTATTGCTCTGTGTGCTCCGTGGTGTGTTTTTAATTTAACTTAAAGGAAGAGGTGACGTTAAAGCAATCAATGACTTCTATCTCCTGAATGAATAATAACTGGATGCAATCATTGATTTGATATATTTCACGTTTTGTTTGGGGTTCTTTGTAGCCGTTAGCTGTTCTACTGCTTTGGACGTGTCCGCAGTATTTTGCTAAATGCCCAAAAATAATAAAAAACCAAACTGAGAAACAGTTCCTGTTCTGTCTTGTGTGGCTTTTGTTTTTGCAGATTTTACAACATAAAAACATATTTGCAGCTGGATTTATTTACCTAAATAATGAATAAATACAACATGTCTAAAGATTATTTGTGTCTAACTCTGAGGTGGTGGAGTGCTTGACAACATATTCGTTTACCATTAGGCCTATTAACCTTCTATACAGTTTAATGAACAATTGTGTACTTTTACTTTTATAACCACATGGTTTTAGTTACTGAAAAATACTTATGTCAAACATGTCATTACAAAGAAATAATAATATTTCCCTCATTGAACAATTTCCTCTTACTCGTACTTCCTTTGTACATTCTGCTTGTAATACTATTTGACGTTATCAGGACTTGTAGTATTTGAGTAGTATACGTGATGTCCCTGAAGGCAGCGCATGTAGAACAGGTGAGTCACATCCAGATGTTCAAGCTTTGATTGTAATTTCATCAGTAATGAAAGAGTCTTTTTTCCCTGAAAAAATCAGACGTGTGAATCAAACCAACGAAGAAGACATAATAAAACAAACAAAGTAGAAACAAAGATTTTCATTTACAAACAACTTTTAAAAAGACGTTTCAATATCTCAAACAAAATTTAATTCTGTTTCCTAAAGTCAAGGCTGAACTTTAAGACGTCCTTTGAACCACTTGTGGATTCATATTGAAAAGCTCTTTGTTGGTTGTTTGTAATAATTAATGAGTTAATAACTACTGTTCTTCATTAATTCATGAATACATTTGTGAATTAGTCAAGAGCATTGAAAGGCTTTTTACTTTTATTTGTTCAACCTGAATCAACCAACCAGAGATTATAAAACAACTTACAAGAACAAACGTTGATGAAAAAACAAATGCACATCTGTTTTTGAAGAGAAATTGCTGAGAATTTTGAGAGCATCTGGATGGAAACCTTTGGTCACACCTCCACCTGAGGCCTCCCCCGTCCCCGTCACACCATCGCACACACTCACACACTTTCTCCCTGTATTGTTTCCACACACACACACACACACACACACACACACTCAAACAGAGGCAGCCGTCGCTCTGTGTCTCCTGTGTTGCTCTGGCAGGTGTAAGCAGCTGGGGAGCAGACTGCAGATAAGAGCTGCAGATAACACACGTACAAACACACACGCGCACACACACACACACACACACACACACACACACACACACACACACACACACACGTTAATGGACCACAGCAGTGAATAAAGAGTCTGGCCAGAAAGCAGCAGCTGTCACAGCGGCAGAGCCAAAATACGACAGTAAATATTTAAGTATTTGCCTTTTTAGACGGATTGTTTTACACATTTTATTCACACATTCATGATCCCCAGAGGATGCACTGTGCATCTTTGAGACTCTCCGACAAGGGAAAAAAAACTTGGATGGGCTTTGTGTTTAATGCTATAACTTTATTGTGAAGCTAAGCTAAAATGCTAATCCTGGCAGTACGTCTGCTAAACATCAGCATGTTAACGTTGTTGTTTTGTGCATGCTAGCACGCTAACACGCTAAACTAAGATTCTAAATATGATAAACATGATAGCGTGATCGTCTTTGTGTGTGTGTGTTAGCGTGCTAACATTAGCATTAGCTGAAGGCCTTTCTGTTGGTCACTGACAGCATCAGATCAGGTGTTTATTTATTGTCACCTGTTGCGTATCTGCTGAGGAGAAACGAGGGATGAATCCGGTTGTGTTGTTGTCTGTTTGCTTCGTTTCCTTCGCTTGTTATCAGACATGAAAGCCACACGATGTGATTCAATTGGCCTGGTTTAATGAGACACCACTGCTCTCTAACGCTGTTAGTCCGGGACAGGCAGTAATGTTACACCCTGTGATACTGTGTGTGTGTGTGTGTGTTTACTTGCAGCATCAGCTGTTGAACTTAAAGCCCTTTGTTTAGTATTTTACATATGAAGCGGTTCTCTTTACGACATTCAGCGTAGTGAAAGCAGAATTATCAGAAGAGAAGTTAAGAATGGCAGGTGTTGGCGTCGCAGACTCACCGAGCGGCGCCCGACCCGAAGAGCTGAGGCCCCGAGTGGAGGCGGAGCTTCTGCTCGAGCTTGTCATCTTTTTCGTTTGAGTTAAAGTGGTTTCAACTTCTTGGTTTGAACAAGCTGCTTCTGCACGTCTGTCAAACCTGCTGTCAATCACAACCAAGTGGGCGGGACTTCAGTTCGCTTCCTGTCTCAGGCACCACACATGTGTCATAGAAGTGGAAATAGAACACAAAGGTTTTGATCAGGGCAAGAAAAGGGAAATAAAAAGGGAGCAAATATAACTTTTATTCAGCATGTTATATTTGTAATTTACTTTCATTAAGAAAAAACAGAAATATTCTGAACAATCCTTCTAAAACCTGAGCGTGTGCTGAGCAATCACGCGTGTGCTGAGTAATCGCCTCCTGCCGCCCGTGTTCAGATTCCACAACGCGTGACGAGTAAGTAAAGAGTGAACAACAAGTCAACGTGGAGGCACCGATGCGTCTGAGCGTCTGAATGCAGTCGTGTTTCGCCGGAGGTCCCAGCTGCCTCAGATACCCATCTCCTCTGATCAAGTGAAACTCTAATCTCCTTGTTGCCCTGAAAGCACCACGCAGAGGGAGAGCTGATTAACACGCCGCTGTGAAAACACGCCACGTTTTACTCAGAGTGGCAGAGGAAATGCGTCTGATTCCTTCTGATGACCTTCTTTGATGGAGAATAGTGTGCATCTTTATGTGTCTTCACACACACACACACACACACACACAGGTGTAAGTTACGGTCTGATTGTGGTCTCGTTTGGTTCACTTGTTCTTGTATTTACCTGATTGTCCCTTTGAAGGTAACAACATGTGTTCCTGACTTCAGCCGAAGGACATCGCACACTCCACAATTACAACCTCACAACATTTATTTATGGCTCAAACAATAGAGCTCAGCAGACACGTCACCACACTTGTGTTTTTTTGTGTTTCCATGACAACGACATGTTGATTTCATCTGAGAAAATGCCCGTTTGTAACGTGTTGCATCAATGTGCTTCAACTGAATCATCCGTGTTGCGTAATGACGACAACATTGAAACCTTGAATATCTGAGTGATTATCAGCATCTGGAGCAGGAAATCAGACCTTTGTATCTACATTCATACACTTGTATTATTTGGGCATTATTTATATTACTCTGTATATTCGATTATTCCTTGTATTGCAAACATGGCCGAGGAAGCTGGTGCTGATCTATTTGTTTGACTTGGAGGGGGCTCGACCTTTGACCCGTGGTCTTTTGTCTTCAGAACTAACTCAGCGCTCTGCGGGCCGGACGGGTCGGATGTGCACGTCTGCTTCAGAGCATCGTCGGTTCTGTGACTCCTGAGTGTTCCGTTGGCTTTTGTCCCGAGGGCGGAGGTACTGGGTGGGGCAGGAGGCGGCAGAGAGGAGGGGGGGTGGGAGGCCGCTATGTGTGTGTGTGTGTGTGTGTGTGTGTAATTTTAGGGCCCAGGCGGACACAAAGGGCCCCGGACCTCCTCCACACAAAGCCCCTCACAAAGCCCCGGCCCTAATGCTTGTAAATCTATTCACACATCCAGAGGCCAAAGATAATAACAAGCTGTTCAGAATGAATTTCTAATGAGCAGATCCCCCCCCCCCGCTCCGAGCCAACGGCTGCTCAGCACCGACGCACCGACCGGCAGGATATGAAGGAATCCCACGTTCAATTTATAAATCAATTTACTTACTAAGTATTAATCAGAAAAACATTGAAAGCAGTAAATTGTTCCTTTGTCAGTTGCAATGTTAATTATTATCATTATCTTCATTTTGTATTTTTTAAGGGATTTGTTTCTCTTTGCTGAGAAACTAAATCCGTAATAAAATATTCAAGTACAAAAATATTTGCCAACAGGATAATGCATTGTTCTTCTATTAAAATCACTATAAAAGCAGCAGCAGTGGTGGAAATATATTAGCATTAATTAAACGCAGCACCGAAGCAGCCGTAAACATAACAAATGTCAGATGAGTCGTGTTGAGGAGGCAGATTGTCAATGTCAATACTTTAAACAGCTGCAGCAGAAACCAAAGCAAACAACAGCCACCAGGAAGAAACTTCAACACCAACGTCCCAACATCCCATTTCACTGGCTACGGTTCAACTAAGAACCGGAGGAGGAGGAAGAGGAGACGCTGCTGCAGGAGCTGAGCTCTGCTCCTCCCTCTGCCTGCAGGTCCAGAGCTGAAGCCGGATCAGGACCAAACTGAGAGCGGTTCTGTAGAGTCTGCATGAGTCCTGATCTCTAAGTGATTAATAACTAATCAAACGTTCCTCACAGTAACGTCTGATGAACACGATCCCTTATGGAGGGAACCAGCATGCTGAGTCCTCACGTGATCTGGTCTCCACTAAAGGCTCAAACCTGCAGAGCTGCTGCTGTTCTCACACGTTCTCACCACAACGCTTCCTCTTCACCTCCGAGGAAACAACCACAAGATGCAAAGAGGAGGAAACTCATCCTCGGAGCTCCAACACGTCATCTCTATGAGCACGACGAGGAAGTGACGCTGTGCAACCAGAGGAAGCAGAAGCTGCATCTGTGAGGAAGAAGCACTCGGTCAGACGCCTTGAGGAGCAGAGACACCATGGTGGAACTCAGAGGGACTCAAAGGACTTTATGTGTGATGCTGCTGCTGCTTCAGGCTGCAGGTAAGAACAGCAAACACACAGCAACTGTTCCACCAACGTGAGGAGAGTCCAGCCGTCCACCTTCATGTCCAGTGTCCACTGGACTCTAGTGGAAGGACGTTTGATGCTGTTTGTTATCGATGTCTTCATCACGTGTGACTGGAGTCTAAACATCTGTATTCTTACCTCAGTTCTTTCAAATGTGTCAATAGTAAGAGGACAAACCCCCCCTGACCCCCGCTTCCTCGTCAGAGCCGGAGATGACGTCACTTTGCCTTCTAATCAGGACAGATGTGACGGTTCTACTTGGCTTTACAGTCGTAGTGGATCAACTGTGGAGCTGGTTACACTTGGGAAGTTTAGAAATAACGCTTTGATTCCAGAAGCTAAAACCAACAGACTGAGTTTGACAGCAAACTGTTCTCTGGTTATAAGAAACGTCTCAGGTGAAGATGTTGGTCGTTACATCAACAGACATTATGATGAAACAGAAAAACAACAAGGTCCAGATGGTGTGGTCTCTCTGTACGTGTTTACAAGTGAGTATTTACATTAAATCATTTCAGCTCAAACTGTCCACACACTGAAACATTATTATCATTTAAATTATGAAGAAGTTAATGTTACTCTTGTTGTCTTTCTCACATTATGAACATCTTCACCAGTGGAGGAAAAGGACTACGGGGGTTCGGTTGAGTTGTCCTGCTTTGTGTTGAGATCCTCTGAGTGTGAACACACAGTAAAGTGGCTTTATGACGGCAAACAGACTGATGTGATGACGACATCACACGCTGCTTGTGAAGCTACTGTGACGTTTAAAGCTCCTCTTCATCAGAAGTCAAAGTATTATAAGTCACTGAGATGTGAAGTGAGAAACAATCAGAGTGGAAAAACTCTGCTGTTTGAAGCCTGCAGTCAGTTCTCATGTGAACAAACAGGTACGTTTGTGAAAAGACGACATCATTTTATTCCTCATTCAGTCTCCTCAGGTAGTAAACACTGATTTATTTCACCTCCTTTCTCGTGTCTGTGTTTCATATCATATTCCACTAAACCAAAGGAGGCCCATCGGGGGAGGGAAACATTACACCACCTGCACCATCAGGTAGTGACGTCCTCCTCTCTCTCCTTGTTATGGATGTTATATTAATAATCATGACTTATGAATGACACACGGCTGAGTCCCACATGTTGCTCCTGATGTTTATTAAATCCATTTAATATCTCTGCTATAAAGAAAACACACATTTTCAAAGGGTTCCATAGAAGTGTGATAAATATTCTAAAATCCACAATAAAGACCAGGTAGTAAACACTGATTTATTTCACCTCCTTTTCTTGTGTCTGTGTTTCATATCATATTCCACTAAACCAAAGGAGGCCCATCGGGGGAGGACAACATTACACCACCTGCACAGAGCGACTCTCCAACCAGCCAAAGTGAGTGAGGATGTTTCCTCTCGGCCTCTTCACCACCTTCTGAAGGATGAAGGCCGGGCGGACTCTCGCTGTGGGAGGAGATGAGAGAAAGTGTTTAAACAGAGAAGCTTTGTGACGTTTGGATTCTGACTTGCAGGCTGGTGGAGGTTCATCATTCTGGCTGCAGCGACGGTGGTTGTTCTTGTTGTGTTGTTCTTCACATGGAAGAGATCTAAAGGTGAGAACATGGCGTCACTTCTATCAGGAACATTCACACACAGGAAACTTAACATGAAACTGATGCTTCTGTCCTTCAGGGAGAGAAACCCGGATGGACGTCAACGAAGTGAGTTTAAAAAATGAAACCAAACGCTGTGTTTGTGATGATTCACTAGTTTATAAGAAGAATAAAGTGAGGCCTGTATCACCGAGTGAGTCCAACATAACAGGGATTCTTCTTCTCGTCTTCAGCACTGATGCTGCTTCATCTGCTCCCTTTGTCTCAGAGTCTCAGGTGTTGCTGCTCACAGGTGCAGCGTGAAGATGGAGACGAAGGTGCAGTGGTCTATGAAAACGTTGGAGAACCTTCAGCTTCTGTCAGACTCTGATCCACAGCTTCTAGATCCACGCGCAGAGACGGGAGATCAACCCTGTGACGTCAGTTCCAGTGTTTTATTTGGCATTTTAAGATAAAGGGTTTATATTGACATGTTTTCATTAATAGTTTCTCTGACATTCAAACTTCTTCCTGCTATGAAAGACACGGTGGAGTGACGTCATCCACGTGCTCTCATGATGAATTATGCTCCTTTGAGGTTAAACTTTGTCTCTTTTTCTTCTTCTACATGTCTGCTGTTTGTCTAACGTGTTTGATTCACATTGTTGGGTTTGAACGAGTTGTCAGCCTTAATAAAGTCGCTTTTATTGATGAGAAATATGAAACAAATAAAATAAGAATGTGCTTGATATGGACTCATCCGTTGTGTTTTGTTTAAGGGAACCAGTGAAAGTCCATATTCTTTATTTAGGTTCTACTCGATGACCCAGAAGGTAACGCTGTCCTCACGTTGTTTCTGTCCAGCAGAGACTTTACCTCCATCGCTCATTTTATGCTCCTGCTTCATCCACATCGACTCTGATTCAAATCCACTTAGAGAATAATTTGTTTACATTTGTTACACCATTAAAAAAGACTCAGTTGGAGATTCTCATTGGTCGATTCTTCCGCCAATTTTTCAAATTAAACACACTAACTGTATTTAGTAAAAGTCTTTAATCATCATTATTCAGAAGCCACAAATTCCTTTATGGAAGTAAATCAGTTTTAAACATTGTTGTTTTTGTGAGCTGGGACTTAAAACCAAAAAGTAACTTTAGCATTAATCCAAAATTAGACTAGGGACACTTTTTAAATGTGGCACCAGTTAACAGAACGATGTCAGAGTGATCACATGACATGTGAGCATGCTTCATGTTCAGGAAGGAGTCCTGTGATAAAACACAAAGAACTCGCAGCGCTGAGAATATTTGAATCATAATAATATCCTCTGCATTTATATATATTTATATTGTCCATGGTGGACTGGTCTCTGTGGAGGACCTGGGTCTGCATATAGAAACATCTTCTCTCTGATGGTCTCGTTTACAGAAGGAGGTCTAGAGAGGATCAGGACTAAAGTGAGAATGATTCATGTAGCATTAGTTCAGATTCTATGGTAATCACAGCATCACAACATCTTATGACTATTATTTTAAAAGCCTAAAAAAGGACATTAAAACGCATGGTGGGTTTTTTGTTTTACATTTTACAAATTCAAATTTCAAATCCATCTATCCATCCTAAGAGTTCCATTTTCAGTTTTGGATCAACTCTGTTTTCAGAAATAACAACAAATATTATATTTGCTTCCCGCATGCCTGCACGTCACTGCGGTAATTGATTTAGGAGGAAGGCGGGTCCTTGATCGCCATGGAAACCCAGCTTCTTACAGAGAAGAGGTGTAGGGTTGGTGGAGTATTGATCCCGGGCAGAACGCATCTGTTAGGCAGCTGAGGGAACAACCTTGTTCCTGGTTTATTTTTATTCCTTATTGATATGAATCATCACGTCTAGTCAGATTGTGGTCTGTGACCTTTGACCCCTCTGAGTGAAGCTATGTTTGTCTCTTGGCTCCTGCCCCAGAGATTTTAGAAAATAACTGCATGTGAAACATGTTGATTGTGTTATTATATCTCCAATTCTTGCAGCTTTTTGAGGCAAAATGTTGTAATTCTGCCTTATATTTATTAGACAACATGACTTACTGTATGATTCCTGATAATAAAATATCATTGAACAATGAGGATGTATTTAAATGTATTGAAATACTGCGACTCCTCTGGTCCTATAGACTCTCTACTTCTCTCTTGATTTATTCCCTCAGTAAATATTGTAAACATGTTTATGGTCTCAATCTCTGGTTTCAAGTCTTCCTCAATACAGCATGATGTTCATTTAGTAAATGATGGTCCATTTAGACCCATTTAGAAGCTGAAGAGGTAGATGAGGAGGTGTGGTGATGAATCCTCGGGTCATCAGTGGCTGACAGATGTGTCAATCGAGCATAAAGCAGCATCTTTGTGCTTCACCTCACGCCTGCAGCCGGAGCAGAGCAGAGATAATGACCCGTCAAGACGTCCTCACATCACCTCTGAGGTGAGGGGCGCCATGGAGATAATCCCCCTCGCCTGCAGCGCCATCGGCCAACGAAACGCGCCTTCCCACTGCGGCGTTCAGACCGGGTTAATCCGGCTGGAATAAGGAGGCCTCAGCTGCAGACGAGCCAAAAACATCTCAACCCTCCGTCACGTCACGGTGACTTCAGAGGAGCCGCATTGATCCAGGTCTGCTCACACACACACACACACACACACACACACACAGAGGCACACACACACACACACAGAGGCACACACACACACACACACACAGTAACCATTGGGAATTGGGGGTTGCGACATCAAGAGATTTGAACAGTCTGTCTTCACCAATTAAACACTTTAGGGTAAGTCTGTCCGTCACGGAAAAGCAGAGTTTTCAGGGTCAAAGGTCAAAAGGAGAATGAGGGATTCTATCATTTAAGTACAAACTAAACAAACATATACTTTGTTTAAGTGATGATGTGTCTCCAAAAGCTTAAAAGTGGGAAGAGCCGTTTCAGAAGTAAATTCCCATTCTTCCTTTTGACGGTGTTGAGTAGGAAAGATTTAAAAGATGAAGTGTTAAAAAGCTTCTTGTTCTTTGATTCTAAATCGGATGTACGCATTGAATCATGGAGAGAAAAGTCACCCACAATTCCCAGGGTGCATTTGGGCAGAAAAACAACCAATCGAAACATCGGCCAGAGCAGATCACCAGCACTCGCACGTCGCTTCAGGAGGTCAAACACTCCTTTTGTCTGTTCTTCGGGTTTTTCAAAAACGATCCGAATCTCCGTCCCGTCCCACATGGCTCAGCGCTGAGACGCTGATCTAATTTCCATCTCTGAACCAAATAAGTGAGCAGATTACATTTTCCTCTGCGTGTAAGGTTTAAGAAACAGAGCGATTTCACTGTTGTGTCGTCTTCAACGACAAAGATGTGCAAAGATGTGCTCTTTAAAGTATCGGAGTGTCTGTGCGTTTAACAGTGTAAACTGTTAACAGGAAATATAACAAAGACAATATAAACATGTAATATGAAATAATATAATATGAATGGAATAATTCTAAAGCTGTATTGTTGAATATTTGAATGTAAATGTGTATATATATCTAAATATAAATATATATATGTATATGTATATATATATATGCATATATACATATATATATATATATATATATATATATATATACATATATATATATATGTATATATATATATATATATATATATATATATATATATATATATATACATATATATATATATGTATATATACAGCGGGTAAATTTGTCATTTGGTTGGAAATTAAAACCTTGCGTTGCATCAGCAAGCTTCCCATCGGTTACTCACATGAGGTCAGTAAATGGATGTTATATCTGCACGGTGGGACTAGATATCATATATTCAGAGCGTCTCCTGGTTTTAAAGCAAAGAAGAGTGTTGATCAATAATCTCACCATAAGGTCATTATTGTTGAGACAGCAATTCACACTATTCTCCGCATCCCGACGGCATGATATAGATATATAATGTATGTATTACTGTCATCTATAACACCTTTTATATCCATAACATAACCTTTGTCACACTGGAAGCGAAACAGAAAGCCTCCACTTAACCCTCGGCCTGCTGCTGACCCCTATTTGCCCTCCATCCTTTTGGGGCAGGCATTCACCATCCCCCCCAGGGGCACGGTCACATTAACAACCAGGGGTGTTTGGTTCACCCCCCCCCCCCCCCCCCGCCGCAGCATTAACAAACCACATAACAGCACAGCGCGGCGCCTCCCGAGCTATGAGGAAGGAACTTCGCCCAACGCTACAGCAGAGAAGCTCGGCCGGGCTCTGGGGGGGAGGGGCTTCTGCTGATGACGGCTGGGGACACCTGTGGCGGCTAATTGAACCTCGGGGACGTTTTCTCACTGTACATCAGCATCCTGCTCCCCTTGAAGTCACAGGCAGCGCCGCTCTGCTGGTGGCTTTTAATGCCCACCGCGGTGCATCATGGGAGGGGTCACCGGGGTTTTGACTCCCGGAGGAAGAAAGTCAGCAGGTCGCGTTTCTTTTTCTCTCTGTGGCCTCATGTGCAGCATAGAAGTCACCTCCATGGAAACAAGACTAGTAGAGAGAACTCAAACAGCACAATGCAGTTGAAATGACATAAATCTGAAAATGTAAAAATATTATTAAATCCGTTTTAAAACAAAAATGGGCAATATTTGAATTGATGTATGTTCAACATTTGGGAGTGAGCACGTCTCTGTGTGCTTTATTCATTGAACTATTCACAGGTCTGCATCGTCTACCTTCAGCCTCTCCTCTCTGCTCTGTGTTCACTTCCTGTTCACTCAGTGTTGATTTATGGTCACATGACAATGACACATGTTATCTGGGGAAAGATTCTAAATAAGACACCTAGAATAAAATCATTTTGATGGAATATGTAAATGTTAAGCTTAGTTTTGGTTGCTTTCTTCTGCGTAACGGTTCGACACACAAGACTTATTGACTCATTGTGACGTCACCAATTAGTTGGTAGACTGATGTTTTGGATTCTGCGATTCTGCCTTTGTCATCTTTGATTACGGCCGATCAGAAAGTGACCATATTTGGAGGAAGTAGAAACTCCATATACGTCAGTCCTACCTGTCAATCACAGTAGCCCCGCCCTAAAGCATCCCCATGGTCTGTTTGTCTCTAAATGAACCATAAACTCATGTTTACAATGTTTACTGGGGGAATAAATCAGGAAAGAAGAAGAGTCATTTTCTCATAGACTTCTATGGGACCAGAGGAGTCGCCCCCTGCTGGACACTACAGAGAATGCAGCGTTCACACTTGAAGCATTGGGCAGAACCGGAGGTCGCCACCAGGGGTCGACTCTCTTTTGGAGACATCTGAGGAGCTGCGTTTTTTTGGCGCGGGGCCTTCATGTCCCTGCAGCGTGACGAGAAGGCGCCATCACTTGTTGGCACCTTTTCAGACAGAAACAGACAAGCCGGGAAACGTCTAGCATGTCTGCCCCCACAGATGGCCGCCCCCCTCCCCTCCCTCCCTCCCCGTCCGCTGGCTGGACCCGGCGCTCCGCTGGACGCCACCATGCCGGTGCCAAATCCCTCCCAGGCGCTCATCTCCTCTCCTGTAAATAAAAAAACAAACAACAAAACAGCAACAAGAAGCTGACACCCGGCGGAACCCGAGTACGGCCCCCTGATGGTGGTCGTTGTTTGGCGAGATGGAGGGCGGGGGGGGCGCACAGATGGACTAATGCGCTAAAAACC